ATGCTAGGTTATGCTTGTTCTGTTTGTTTTCGATTTAAATAATGAACAGATTTAATTAGGTGGAGAATGCGTTGAGGAACAATTACAAGTCTTATGGAGCATGGTATCACCGTAAGTGGGTTCTAAGCAAAGGGCATTCTTCCACAGACAGGGAGTTACAGCTGCTCGATAAGTTCCAGAAAGCAGATTCTCGGAATTTCCATGCTTGGAATTACAGGAGGTCAAATCTCTGGAAACTTTTATTGATGTAATTGAGAGGCTGTGGCATGCTGTGATATTTCCATTGATATTTCTTTCAGGTTTATTACTTCATTGAAGAACATTTCAGATAAGGATGAGCTAGAATATACAACAGACATGATATGCAATAATTTTAGCAACTATTCTGCTTGGCACAACCGTAGGTAAACTTTATTTCTTATGTCAAAGTATATGGCTAAATATCGAATTGTCGACTGCTTGAATTTGACATATTTTTTCTGATTTTTAATAATGTTTACTTAACAAATCTTAATTTTTTCCAGGGAATAAATCTTAATCAATAAGATTTTCATGCACTTACGAAACAGATACTCCCTCTTTTCCAAAAAAAGACTCCTCATTTCCACTTCGGGATGTCTAGAAAAATACTCATCTTTTTAGTTTTGGAAAACTTTCAGTGGCTCACAATCTTTCTCTTTTCTCTGCATCACTTTCAACCACACAATTTTACTTTTCTTAAACTTCGTGCCAAACCTCATAAGGAATCTTATTTTGGGACGGAGGGAGTACATCACAATGATTCTTAATTGTCTGCTTAAGCAAGAAAGGATCTAATTGAATACGCATAAAACATATAAGTTTGATTGCAGATGCGTTTTAGAAAATTGTTCCCCATATGTCTGTTCAATAAATTGTATTTATGATACATTCTCTCTAAACAGGAATGCTTCCCTCATTTATTTTTCAAATGACTTTTGCACAGTGTTCTTCTTATTCGGTTGCTAAGGGAAAACATAAAAGGATATTTTCCCAAGGAGAATGTATTGACAGAAGAGTTTGAGTTTGTTCGCCATGCTCTTTTTACAGACCCAGATGATCAGAGTGGTTGGTTTTATCATCTTTGGCTTCTTGACCAGATAGTAGAAACATCAACTCTGTTGGTTTCTTCATGGCCGCCTCACGACTCTAGTCTTCATTTATCAACAGATGGTTTACGTGATAATGGTGTTTTGTCCAATGCCAGAACACTTCCCTTCGTTATCTACTTCAGTGAAGCCATTAAAAATATAAATTCATCAACAGTCAAGGTTGAATGTGAAGGTATTGTGAACACTGACTTTCCTTGGAGTCCGATCTCGGGAAATGATATTGGGTTCGCTAAAGCCTGGTTAACTTTTATTAATTTTCCCGATGACGTTGAATCTTTAGTGTCTTATCATGTGAAGGTCAACATTTCTAGTTCTCAAGGATTTGTCTCTTCAAACGGCGCTGTTTACAATTGTGATTCTGCTCAACTTACATTTACAGTACATGTACCGTCTAAGAATCCAGACAAAAAAATGGAAGACGAAAAGAGGCTTTCTTTAGCAGAGGAAAACTTCTGCAGAAATGAAACAGTTTCTCCCGAGTCAGTTTTATTTAACACATTCTATCAATTGAGAATACCTATAGATGACAAAGAAAGAGATTTGAATCAGAAGATTCAGATACTTGACAATGAGATAGCTCACTGCAAGGAGTTACTGTTATCAGTCAACTGGTAAACTTCATGCCTTCATCTTTATTTGCCACGGAATGTTCATCGTCCTGCTGTAGTCTTCATATAATTTTCTCTATAAATTTACCGTTTTCTTTGCAGTAAAATTGGGAAGTTAGCCCTTGCAAGATTGTTGATGGCACGTGACAAATTGGTGCCATATGATGGCACAAATGCTTGCAACCAGTATGGAGAAGTTCTTCAGTTGTACAATGATTTAGTGAAATTGGATCCAGCACACGTTCAATACTATAAAGACGAATACAGCTGTGTTTTACTCAAACAGGTAATTTTCTTTCCTCCCGTTGATCACCTAGGAATGCTTTGCTGTCAAATTCTAGAGTGTACTTTGCCTTTGGAAAATGAGAACTCCTTGTTATGTGCCCATACACATANTGGGAAGTTAGCCCTTGCAAGATTGTTGATGGCACGTGACAAATTGGTGCCATATGATGGCACAAATGCTTGCAACCAGTATGGAGAAGTTCTTCAGTTGTACAATGATTTAGTGAAATTGGATCCAGCACACGTTCAATACTATAAAGACGAATACAGCTGTGTTTTACTCAAACAGGTAATTTTCTTTCCTCCCGTTGATCACCTAGGAATGCTTTGCTGTCAAATTCTAGAGTGTACTTTGCCTTTGGAAAATGAGAACTCCTTGTTATGTGCCCATACACATAAGTTGCTGATGGGTTCTAGTCTACCTTTCCTAGGAATGTTTTGCCGTTGAATGCTAGTATCTTTACCTTTGAGAAATGAGCACATCTCCTCGTCATGTGTTTTTATGTTAAGTTATTGAGTTCTTAAAGGAGCTTCTCAAAAACGTTCTTTTATAATCTCTTATTTGTGCTTGAAATCAAAGCATTTTTACATTTTGAGAATTTTGCTAAAAAATGGCTGTTTGGAGCAAATAAGCTCCAAAACAAGAATTCTACTTTGAAGAGTTGAAGTTTACTAGAGGCCTGAATTTTCAACAGTAAACTGTTATCTATTGAAATATGAACTGCAAAAGAGGGCTCAAAATGGGGGTTGTATTATAATGTAAAGAGAGAATTTGAAATAATGTTGAGTTCATCTTCATTATGTCCCTTTCAGTTACTCTGCAATCAAGATTCGTTGCTGGAATGCTGTCATCAATATCAAGAACCATCTTCTTCGACCCCTTATAATTATTTATGTTTGCGTCTAAATAATCTCTCGCTCTCCCGACTTGGATGTGTTGAGAGACTTCTTTGGGTGCAGATCCTTGATCTTAGTGGTAACCAACTTCGGTCCATCGAAGGTACAAATTTCCACCTGTTGCATTGTGTTTTATCTGCTAATTGGCTCTAGGTTATTTTGTCTTACTATACTTGATTATGAACCCTCCGTCCACCTAAGATCTTCCCATTACGTGTTACGAGGCTTGACCGACATTATTTTCAATTCAATTTAATTGATTATAGGAGTAAAATTTTAAAATAAAATTTATATAATAATAAACTACATGAAAAGTTCTACAAAACTAGAGGTGACAAGACTATATTATTTTACGAAATGATTAGTAAAAATGAGCAAACAAAGTGAGTAAAGTGTGACTATGTGAATAGTGTCTGGGAAGATCTATGGTGGACGGAAGGAGTACTTTTTTTTGCATTGCATCTCTCATCCCAATTCAACGGGGTTGGTTACATGAACCAAGCATAGAACTCACAAGATTTTCTTTCTTTCTCGAATTTATTAATGAAAGAAATGCACCAATCAAGTGAAAAGATCATACTTGAGACATTTACTCCCTCCGTCCCAAAAAACTTATCATAGTTTAATTTTTATGCTAACTTTGACCATAAATTGTGATAAAAGTATATTGAGTTATAATGTATATTTGATATAATTGGGTTCATTTTAAGATGTAGTTTTGATATATCAAAATTTTATCTTTTATTTCTTTAAAAATATATTTGATTTATTGTCAAAGTTAACGTAAAAGTCAAATTAGGACAACTTTTTTGGGACGAAGTATATAACTCATGAAGACATGGTCATTTTCCATATTTGATGCAGGTTTGGAGGCAATTCAGCAACTCGTTTGCCTAAACCTAAGCAAGAACTTGCTTTGCAGTTTCACAGCATTAGAGCCTTTAAAGCATCTTAGATTGCTAAAAGTACTGGACATCTCATACAACGACATCGGCGCACATCCTATTGACACAAAAAGGTACCTTTGTTCTTCTCCCCTGTGCCATTCTAGTGGAAGCGCCTGGAACCTTGACGAATTCGTGACTGACCATTGGGAAGTGCTCTTGGTTTTTAAGAATTTGAATCTGACACAACTAGATATCATGGGAAACGCTGTTTCTGACGATAAAAATTTAAAGTTGTTGCTATTTGAGCTGATGCCAGCACTCAAATGGCTTGATGGTCAGGAGTTGAGATGATTTTCAAGTGCCCTTTAAGGTCATGTTTGGTTAGAGCCTTGGAGGTAAAGAAAGGGGAACAGCATGTATACTGTACTACAACATTTTTCTTGTACTACTATGGGTTACATGTTTTGCCTTTGTTGATTAATAGACCTGTTGAGGATCTTCGAGGGAACAATCTCTCTACTCCTAGACCAGAAGTAAGTTTTGCGTGTACCTTGCACCCCATCGGGTAGGTTTGTTTGGTTTTGGTTTGGTTTTAGGTCAGTTTTGACTAAAGGTGACTTTATTTTCGGATGGAAGAACTATTTATACCAAACATTTTTCTCGAGCTGCTAATGAATTTACCATACATTAGTTACTAGTATATTTTATCAACATGTTTAGCCAAAGGTAGCCTCATCGACCACTATCATAACAAGTGAAATAGAGTGATGTTATAGTAATCCATAGTGAAGAGAACACATTCATAAGAAGCGTGGTGTGTCACAAAGATCCAATTTTTAAAGTTTAGTAAGGTACATTAGTACACATAGAAAAGATTCAAAATGTGAATATTTTTGAGTTTATATGTTGGTATAAATAACTACAACACACATAACTTGTTTGAGATCCTTTTTCATAGCAAACATTTTGTTTGAAAGGATTACAAACATTAATATAATGCGGGAGTACAAGTTACGATTCCGATACCGGTACAAAAATAGAACCGTTTTTGCTTCAAGAGTGTTGTAACTTTGCCCCATTCATTGCTTTCTTTAAAAGGAATTTGATAAATTGTATTTCTTCCGTTTTAGAATATTTGTCTAATTTTAATCTTTGATAATTAACTAGGACCAACCTTTGACTTATAAAATGGTTCATGGCGATAAGTTGCAATGGGTCATGCTACACTTACACCACAAATTGTACACCATTTGTACACCATAAGTATACACAAACAATTTGATAGTTTAAACCGATACAAGTGTTGGTGCGTTAATAAAAATTTACAGAGACACAAAGTGTTTGTGCATTAACAAAAATTAGTTTTACACCAACACAAAATATTGGTGCAAACTTGCGGGATACAAAATGGGGTACAAAATATAGGGTTCAAGTAGCTTTATCCAAGTTGCAATAGCATGCCAATGATAAAAGATTCTGTGCATTCATATTTGCCTCATTATTATGAAATACGGAATAGCATTACTTTTGTACGGAGTTAATAACCCATATGGCCATATATAATCAATCGACCTCAGAATAATTCAACAAATATGGTATGGTGGATGAAGGTAACATCGAAAGTGGCCCAGAATTAGACCGCCGGCATCCATTTTATGCTCTGAGAGAGGAGAGTCTAGCAGTATTAGATCGAAATGTTCCTCCGTATAATAGGAATATTAATCAACTGAAAGTTTCAGATGAAATTCTCACGTATACATGTAGAAGAAGAAGCATTATTATTGTTACAAAGAGCTGTGATACCGGAAATTTGGATTTCATCCGCGCCGGTGAAATTTCTCACCTGAAAATGGGAGAAGAAATGCTAATGGTCATCGCCGGGCTGGCTGGGAATGATCGGAGGGAGGAGCTTTAAGAAGCCAAACGGGAAAGGGCATTTTCGGCAGCGGAATAGTCGGGCTTGATTTTCAGGGCGTCTTCGTATGTCTTTCTGGCCTCCTCTTTCAGCCCTTTCTTCTCGTAGCACTCTCCTAACAGACAAATCGCCTTCACGTCATCCCCCTTCAACCGCACCGACTCCTCCAGGTCCGCAACCGCCGACGAGTCCACTTCTCCGTCCCGATTCGCCGCGATCCTCAGCGCCGCCCGCTTGTGCAGCGCCTCCGCCCTCTCCGTGACGCTGAGAGATCTCGCCGCCATCGGCGACAGCGCCGCGTCCATCGAATCCAGAGCCGAGGTCCTGAAGCCCTGGATCTCGAGAGCCATCGCCTTGAGCAGGTGGAGCGCGGCGTCCTTGGTGTCGAGTCCGATGGCCTTGTCGGCCTCTTCCTCGGCCGATTTGGCCAGCGAAATCCTCATCGCCGGCGACAGTTCCTTGGCGGACCTGGCCCGATCCAGACGCTGCGCGCCCAAGACGAAGTGGCGCCTGGCCTGGATTGTGCGCGATCTGCTTCGAATTCGGAGCTCAGAGAAGAGCTTCTGAGGGATATTGTGCATAAGAAGATAGGCGAAGATGGAGATGAAGATGAGAGCAGCCTGGAGAAGAAGATCGCCCCACATCTTGTTTTGGTCAGTTTAGCTTTTCCTCTCGCTCTACTCCGTACACTGGTTAGGAATTAGGGTGCGGATGAATTTGAGACTGGAAGTCAACTCAGTTTATGAATGGTGTGTTTGGGTAGCTGTCTTTTGTTGACCGGTGTGTTACATACCTAATGTTCTTAAAAAGTCCTAGAAAAATATAATGTTATGTCCAAAGTCTTAAGATTGATTCTTAAGATTGATTCTTGACATGACAATATAAAAGTTTTATCCAATTTTTATGTTCGCACGGGTAGCTTAGATAGTCATAGAGAAAAAAAATGTTGTGTTTTGGCCTTTGGAGTCTTAGGATTGATTCTTGAAAAGGAAAGTGTGAGAGTTTTATCCAATGTAATAGATCTTTATGAACACCAAGCACATAGCGATTTCTCGAAAGACTAGACTAAACATTAGATGCACGGGTTGATCCAGATGCATTGGAGAAGCATTCTTAAACAAAACTGGAGCAAGCAAATAATGAAGAAATAGAGGTCTTTGAATATCAACAATATGGAGTACTAAGGAACATGCTATGAACAATTAGTGTACGAGTAATAAACAAATAAATTATTAGAACCACATCTGAAATTTTTGAACACGAGACACCATTGTGCGGTTTCATCCTCTCTATAGGAACATAACATTTTTGGAAGATACAAATAGCCATATAGATTAGGTGCAAGTCTGCATTTTATATTTCGAGTGTCCCGAGGGGAGGATGATAAATATGTATATGCCTCTCCGCAAAAATAGGTTTTACAATTTTCCCTTTGCACGTTGGTGTTATTTGCAAAGTTTCAGCTTCTAAACCCGGGGTCAGTTGCTGTGGTGTGGCGTCTCTTCAGTCTTCACTAAGTTACGGGACAAGAGTCTTTTTGTGTCTCTCTTCCCATCTGAATCACATTCAGGGGAGACTTCAATAGCTTCTTCAATGTTTCCACGATGCTACCAAAGGACGGGCGCTGGGCAGGGTCACTGTACCAAAAAGGACCAAACATGTGAATCGCTCGCTATGGTTATGTCTTCTGTTTCCAAGGGCAGACAGAAAATGATATCCTGGGTGTGTACATTGAAGTGTGTGAAAAAATATGGACAGAAATGTGGAAGTTCAGAGCTTACTCATTCCAACAAGCTTCGACCAGAGATGCCAATAGGGGAGAAACGTTCTCTGGCATGGAAAGCCTCCTGTTTTGGAAAGCTACAGCTCCAACCACCTGAGCAGGGCAAAGTCCACACCAAGGCTGTTCCAGGGTGATGAGCTCCCATAAAATCACCCCAAAACTGTACACATCTGACTTCTCATTTGAGGGTTCCCCGCGAAGAAATTCTGGGGCCATCCACTCTGGCTGAAAGAAAGAAAAAAGAAACAAGGGTTAGATGCAGGTTGATCGCAATCCAAATTGCTAGCTTCTAATGACCTGTGTGCAAGAAAGGACTTACGGTTCCCGCAACAGATTTGGATGATATGAACGTGTTTGGTTTGAACCTCGATAGACCAAAATCACAAACCTGAGCCAGTATATATATCAATATTGAGTTAGCAGTGTCATGTGCATAGCAGAGAACAGTTTCATTATATTCGGTAGAAACAATATCACTTTTTTTTTTCTACCTTCACAGTCCAGTTCTTGTCAACCAGCAAATTAGGTGACTTGAGATCCCAGTGAACTACAGGAGGACTAAGGCAGTGGAGATAGTTGATACCCTTGGCCTGCATTTCATAATGTGCATGAGAAAACTTCCATAGCATAAAAATGGGAAGCACTGTAAAGAAACAATGTTTTGGTGTGAAGCACAAACCACATCCAAAGCCATGCGTAGCCGCCTTCTTTTATCCAATATCTCTCCATTAGCTGGTCGGTGTATCAGGCGGTATAGACTCCCTCTACAAGAAGCAGGCCAAACAAAGTTTTAAAAAGTAGGTACTTCCCGGAGTTTTTTTGAGTTTGAATACAAAGAAGCATAACCAAATACCTAGGTAGATATTCTGTCACTATAGATAGATGTGGACGCTTAGTGACTGCACCCATGAAAAGAACCACATTTGGGTGGCGGACACGTTTCATAATTGCAACCTTCAAAAGAGAGTTTGTCGAATCAGCATTTAAAACCCAACACATGGTTCAGAAAATCTTCTACAGTCCTGTACAAGATGGAACTGGCATGTCTCCATGTTCCACCTTATATAAGCTACTTCTAACAATAAGGATGAATGCAAAGCTGGGGCAAGGAATCAAACCAGACTCCAATGTCTAGGAATATATTAGACGAACTGTCTTATACAAGCAAGGAATTCATTTACCGAGAGAACTAAGGTCAAATTTCAGCTACATAGATCTTAGATTGTGTTTCTTAATGGCTCCCTGTTCCCTTCTCTTTTCCCACCATCCCATATAAGACAAAAGTAAATAAATGAGTGAATTCAATCATTCAGCCCCCACCAATGCAGGCACATACCTCCCTTAGAAACTCCTTCAATTGGTCATCAAGAAAATCTTGCACAGATAGCACCTTGACTGCAACATCCTGCAATGCATGGTTGTCTTGATGTTATGTCATGAAAAGTCAAAAGTAAGAACGGCTATCTAGTGAAAACTAATTAAGTTTAGTTGCTAAAAAATCAAGTTTATATTACCGATCCATTCCAATCAGCTCGATGTACAGTTCCAAACGAACCTGCATCAAGAAAATACAGCAAGTGTCGGTATGTGGACACTACAATCTGATAAAATTAAGAAAATTATTGTATCCGAGATTTGTGTGTGGGTGGGGGGAGAAGGGGGGGGAGGGGGGAGGATGAAATGTACCAGCTCCAACACGCTCCTTGATATGTAATTCATCCCATGAGATCTCGAGCCAATCCATTGCAAGAGATGGCTCAAGATTCAAGTATTTTGGAATGGTTGCATCAGAATGCTTCTCCTGATTCGCAAGGGTACTCTCAGCCTCCACATTTTCACCTATGCTAGGACTCCTACCATCAAATGCAGGTGGTCTAGACTGAACAATCTCTTGTCTGTTTGTCCGTAGTAGAGCTATTTTACCTTCTCCTGGTTTATTATATATGTTGCTTATATTATGTTTACCGAAGAGCTGATTTGGACCGCACTTGACATTTTTGGGCTTGGTCTTGTCAATAAGGACAATGTCATACACTGGTTGACTTTCTTCTTCTTCTGTACATGCAAAAGAATGAAGAGAGTACTGAGTTACTCCAGTGATAGCAGGGGGACAACAAAGAGTTGCAAAGCAAAGAGAAGCTTCAAACCTTTACAAGTTCCCCATGTAACTAGTATTCTATGAATAGAAATAAAGTTCATACTGTCTTCACAAAATTTCATGGAACTTACAATGTGCATGCAACGAACAACTATTCAGTTTAACACTGAACGTCTACTCCTCAAACAAGTACCGACCCCTACTGTAGCAAAAATCAAGCTAAGGTTTGGACATTATACCTGAAAGGGTAAAATTTTCTGGAGAAGGTAGTCCACAATTTGAATTGAGGAGATGAGAACCCTTATCACCATCAAAGTGAGGTAGCTGGAATTCCATCAGATGAGCAACTTGAAAGGGGGAAGGCACCGAGCAAAGAACACTGGCATTGACAGATGAATCGGGGCCGTGGATATTTCCCGGTTCCCCAACTAGATCAACCACAAACTCCCTATTAAGAAAGTAGAAATTAGTTGCAATCAAACTAGACAAAAAGATTTTGACCCATATGAGAAATTGACTCTCCATTTGGCTATGTTTGCAACCCAATATTTCATAAAGTACTCCGTTTATAAATACGTATAAAATACTATAGTGTTAACAAATCCATAACAAATAGAAAACATACACAAACTTTCTCAAAGTGGGATACCCTAATCTATATACTACTCCCTCAGTCCCAAAATCCACTCGTCCCTTAACGAACTTTACACAACTCAAAATACGTATAAAATACTATAGAGTCCCAAAATCCACTCGTCCCTCCCTCATTTCCATTTTTGGAGGCAATATGTGGCTGACAACAATATTTTGACAACTATCAGGAAAGTTGCTTTACCTAGAAAACTTCCTGTCATCCATAATCTTTATGAGGCACGAAGACCGATGATCTTCAACGCAATACTTGCAGCCTCTAGCTATCCTGCAAGGCAACCCCACATAGTCTGCCAATTTCTGTAGAACAGCAGAATGACCAACCACATATATAGGAATCAGTTAATATAGACGGCAACAATGTAAGAAAGGTTTAATTGCCTTTTTCTCAACAACTAAAAAGTAGACCTCAAGAATCACCTTGAATAAAATAGCTCTGTGCCTGCAGAGCCCTGTAGACAAATCACCTATTGGGAGGACGACGCTCTTCTGCAGATCCCTAAGTCTCTTGCTGAGAATTTCCCAGCGCGTGTAAAGATCACCTTGTTCCACTTGAAAAGATCCCCTTCAGTCCAACAAAGTTGACACTCAGTCCCATTAAGAAGGAAATGAACATTCAACAGTTACGCCACAAACATTATTACTTCAAAAAAAAAAAAAAAAAAAACTCACCCCATATGGACAGCTACGAGTTTTCCAAGCTTCTCAGCTAACACTAGTGTGTTCTCTGCAGCGAAAAATATTTCTTGAGCCATATCCTCTAGTTCCCTGAGCTTGGAGTCTCCTCGCCGATCAATGAGCACCACTTCCATAGATGTGTCGCTGGGTTCACTACCTTTAAGTGCCTTCATAGATGGTAATCTGCCCCCTTCCTCGGAGTTATTGCACATAACCCACAAATACGGATTCATCCCCAAGATGTTGTAGAATCCATCTGATATCTTGTCAGCATATGACAAGCAGCCACTTACCTGGGAAATTCAACACAGGATTGGAATGTCACTCAATTAATCACTGAGATCAATACCAAGAACTAAACCTGCTTGACAGAGATAGGTACTTACCCAGAGGCGGAATGACACGGTCTCGGGATCATAAGATACTGGAAGACCCTTCCCACCGATGCATTCTTGGAGAGGCTCATCAATAGCAACAGTCGCTTGCTCCACAATCCTTTTGGCAAGGGTGAGTTGCAAGTAATAGCTCTCCCTCAACCTTGGCACTACCAACTCATCCTCCCCATCTCTAAGACTGCTACGCTTTGGCGCTGCACACTCCTCCACCTCTGCCTCCGTGGTGGTAGAGGTGTGCGAATCCTTGACCACGGTGCTTGGCCAACTCCCCTCCAATGTGGAGCCTGAAAACAAACTGAAAGCAGAGGTAGAGCTCCCTGCGCTTGAAAGCTGCTGCAAAGATGCTTTCCTTTCGATGCCCTTCTTGGCTGGCACAATGCTGGGTTTGCTGCCGGTAAACGGTGGCCTCTGCAAGGATGGTTTCTTTCCATGTGAAGGGCGGCAGTGGTCAGAGCCGACAACAACTTTCGGCACGGCCTCGGGTGGAGTTGGGAGCAAGAGGAGGTTGTATTCATTGCCGCCGCCCGCCACATCATCATCATCATCTCCCACTTGAGACGACTTCAAGTGATGATGATGAGGATTGTCATGGGGTGATTTGTCGTCTCTGATGATCACTTTCTTCTCCGCCAGCCAATCGACAAAAGCAGACAATTGCTTCCCGTGAATCTTGTCCCCTCCTCCTCCCGCGGGAGGAGGGAGATCATGGTAGGAATCATGATGATTATGATGATGATGATGATGGTAGGAATTGGAAGATGGCGAATTTCCCCCATTTTGGCCGGAACTAGTGATGATCTTATTATTATTATTGCCGTGATCTAAAAGGAAGTTATTAGTTGGGGATGATGATGCATCGAGTCCGCCGCCGCCTCTATCCGGAAATTGCCTGGGGAAGAAGTAAGTGGTTCTGTGCGGCATTTTCACAAATCTCCCGTGAACCCCGGGGCCACCCCCAAACAAACTCCGATCTTCTCTCTCTCTCTCTTCAGAAATAACTTAACTTATTATTGCAAGCTCAAGAACAACAACTCGCAGAGCCGCAATAGTAAAGCGTCGTCAACAATATATCTGCAAAATTGATCGAATAAATCAACTGCAAATCGGCAACGAGAAAAACAAACAAACAAACAAACAAAATATACGAACTGATCGATCGTCGATTGGAACACGTAAAAAGAACACTTGTAATAATTTCATCCTTCAGATCATCGATCGATTGCATGCGTGGGTACAATAATCTATACGTGTTCATGAAAAATTTATGCGAATGCCGCCGAGCAAAAACAACTAACTAACTAAACTAAATAGATCTAAACGAGTGAACGAACGCAAGCACATATATATATACTAAAATATATATATACCTTTTGGATGGCTGGCTAGATATATCCCCGGATTGAGATGGAAGACGATGAATTGAAGATATATGTATATATATATATATATATATATATATATATATATATATATATATATATATATATATATATATATATATATATATATATATATATCACCTTTTTTTAATAAAAAAAATAAAAAAATAAGGAGCAATATGTATATAGAAATGTATGTATGTGAGATGAAGACGACGGAGAAGTTAAAAGTTGAAGAAGAGGAGAAGCAAACGTAATTGAGGGGGGAACTTTATTTATATATATAGTTGGTGATGAGAGTTTTTTAATAATAATAATAATAATAATATCATTTTCCTCCGTTCTCAAAAACACTTCCTCTTTCATTTTTTTCTACTTCCAACAAAACACTTCCCCTTTCTATTAAAAAACCACTTTTACTCTTATTTTTTCATACCCTACCTATCACATCATACTTTTTCTCTAATAATCTATCCATCACATTTTACTTTTACCCATCACATCAGGGGCAAAATTGGAAATCAACTATAATTTAACACTTCCTTATTTTTGTATCAAATGGGAAGAGTTTTTCCAAACAAAGGGATTTTAACAAAGGGATTTTAAGGGGCACGCAACGCAAGTGGGCGACTGGCTGCACAGTCTGAATGGGGGAAGAAAGTGATGGAGGAGGGAAAAATTGAAATGGAGGAGAGAAAAGAAAAACTGGGTACCTAAAAAGAAAAAACAAAAGGCGCGCGGTGCTATTGTACGCTGCATGGATTTGACCGCTGCACACCTTTGACGCTTTGACACGTGTCCCCTCACATTTCTTTTTTCTTTTCCTTTTTTTTTAATTTTTGCTGAAGCACACCAAGAGGTAGCTAGGGAGTAAGCTACCACTTACCACCATAGTTTTTAGAATTGAACCGGTGATTAAACCGGCTAAAATAATATAGTTCACTTGTTGAATTAGTGACTCAAATAAATTTGAATATACACACACCCATGCGCGATGTGGCATTTAATTAAAAAACTAATATATGAGTAAACAAAATAATATTTCCTCCATTTATAAACAAACAACTTATGATGTTTGACTAAAATTATAATCATTTTAATTTACTTGAGTTGTGTCATTAAATAAAAATAAAATTTACACTTTTAAAAAAGTTTATAAAATAAAAAGTGATTTGATTTTTCCAAATCATCTACCCATTATTTAAAATATATATATAAATAAATATGTGACTTTGATAATGAGTTCTTATACATCTTCTCAATAAATTTCAATAATTAAACGAGATTAGCTTTTCATCAATTATCTTTAAGTTTTTAAGAGTTTTTTTGCTTGGTAAATCTTTCTTGTGCACTTTAGCTTCACTTGTGTGTCGTGAGAACTTCTTATGAGGTCACTCACTAGTCACCACAAGAGAACTACTCCACGCTAAGCACGCAAAAAATGCTAAAGTATGTAGTTCTTAGCAAATGGTCGAGCTGTTACGTTGTGTAAGTAATATTGAGTACTATCAATTTTTTAATTTTTTTAAAAATTAATTCATCTCAACTCAGGGTGTTACAGAAATCAAGATATAAATGTTTAAGAAGTTTTAAAACAGTCAAAATATAAGTGCAGTGTGAACTTTATTTCAGAGAGAAGAGTATAAATTTCATTTTAAAACACTCAAAAATATAAGTGCAGTGTGAACTTTAATTTCAGAGAGAAGAGTATAAATTTCATTTTAAATTTGTACTAATATATAAATAACTTAGATACAAATTAAATAAATTTAGTTAAACTTCATTCTTTAGGTGCAAATGAGTAATTTGTTTGGTACTCCACATATCCTTCTGATTTTAAAAATATAAAAAGTGGCTGATAAAAAGATAAAAATAAAAAGGTGAGCATTAAAATATTTTTTAAATGAAAAGTACGAATAACTCTCGGAAAGCTAACATGGCAAGAATCTTGGGAGTAAAATAACCCTCTTGAAAATAATAATAAAAAAAGTACCCATGCCGGCCGAACGTCCTCCAGAACTGCAGACCGGAATAAATTAAATAGTAGAAATAAATTATTATTTTTTTATATCGCAATTTAAATGAAAAATGTTGGCCAATCTTCTACCACATATATATACAAGTAGAAATAGAAATGGACTCAAATAATAAAATTCAATCAAACTCCATGAATATGGATGCATGGGGTTTTTGGAAAGTGTCAGAAAATAATCCCTTCGTCCCTCCCTAAATGTTTAATTTGTCATTGTTCGAACAACATATAAATTAAAAATTTCATTATTTTTAAAGTCATTTTAATTATGAATTAGTATAGAAATGTAAACTAGAAATTACCCCGTTCAAAAATATATCAAAATTTTTTACAAAACAAAAAGCAAGAAGAATATTTTATTTTATCAAATGACCAATAAAAACATAGAAAAAAAAGTCATCGAAAATTCGTTATAGTAATAGATTAACAGTGACATCCATTATGGGACGGAAGGAATATTTTATAAGAACTTGTTGCAAAACATAAGTATTAACATACATTTTTACTCTCTCTATTCCAAAATTTATTATTAGAAGGGAAGTACATTTAAAAACCTTATGTTTTTAAATTAATTTTATTTACACATTTGCATAAAATAAAAAATACTCCGTAAAACTTAAATGTATATTTAAAAATTAGGCCAAATATTATACCCGGAGTATAACATGTCATTAAAAGGGACAAAATTTTCTTTCTTCAAATGATAAATAAAAATATACTCCATCTGTTCTAAAAGATTGTCACAGATTTACTTTTTTGATCAAATTCTGATATCATTTGGCCACGAATTAGATATAGTTTAAATTTTATTGCATTTTACAATGTTAACTTATTTTATTTTCAAATCAATTTAAAGTCTACGAATATAATGATTTGATTATATTAATGTTTTATTAATGAGTAATAAAAATAGATAAATAATACTCACTACTTGGGTAGAGTTTTTTTATAGACCAGAGGTCTCTGCTGGTTGCTCTTTAGGAGAATCGAAGGGTCACTTTTACAAGTCCCAAGGCCTTTGGCTTATCTCCTTTTTTTACTATTTTTTTATTTTTTCTGTACATTATAAATATAAAATAAAATTAAAACAAAAAAAGGAATTTACACTTCTGCACAACTTGCAGGAGCATGCATCTGTTCATCTCGCAGTTGTCGAATTTTTCATATTCAGTTGCTTTTCTTTTCCATTTTTTTCCCTTTCTGGTTAAATATCCCAATTAAATAAAACTGTTTATGGTTGGGGGAATGAGATATCAGGTCCATGGAAAAGAACATTATAATATGAATTTTAAATTGTTATTTTGCTTTGCATGTTGTAATAAGGCTTATATGTCAAATTATGCAATCGAGTAAGGATAACTAGATTGCATAATAAGATATTTGGCTTGAACCAAATTAAAAGATTAAATCCAATCAATTACTTAGTTCAACTCAAAAACTTATATATATGCCAACTGGCAACTACTTTTCTATTCAACTTCCGATGTGAGATATAACTTCCGGTGTGAGATATATAAACATGTCAAAATACCAATTCAATCAAAAGCTCAAGCTTGTGGTTCAGAAAATGTTTCTTATATTCTAGCACGCTCTTCACGTGCAAGCGTAGTCTTTTTTCAAATATTGTATGTGAAGCATTGATTTTTTTTTAAATTAGGCGGCGTTGAGTTTCAAACTTGTGACCTCTTAATCAACAAGACTCTGATACCATGTCAATGAACTAATTCAAACAAAAGCTCAAATTTGTGGTTGTGGCCCATAAATATTTCTTATATTCTAACATAATTGAATGGGTAAAAAATGAGAGGAAAAGTGGGAAAAAAGAAAATACAATTAAATGAAAAAGAGTAAATTGTGTTTTCTCTCCATCTCTTTTCTTTCCTTCCAATTTCTCTCCATCCAAACACCCTATAAGGGTTGAATGAAGCTAAGAGATATATGTGTGAAGCAAATAATATAATATGATTAAGCATTTATCTATTTTAATTTTGGCAATGTGAGTTAGGTTTGCTCAAGAAGATAGAGGGAATTGAAGGAAGCTAATAGAAGAAATATTTGCTAGCTATATGTTGTGTTGGCACTTGGCAGACTACTAGTATTATTAATGGCATATGAAGGGCATGCAAGAAATTAATTATTGGAGCTATATCATACATCAAACTAAAAGAAGCTAAGGCCGGTAGCCATTGCATTGCAGATGTGATACACACACACAGATATAATACACGGATTACATGATAAAATAATACGGAGTAATTCTTTCGTTTTTTGTATTTCAGACTTAAATTTTAATCAATTTCTTTACTTTTTTATTTTTCATTTTTGAAAAATAACAGTGTTGCTATTTTAGTCCAATAGAACTTTTATGTGGTATTAAATATAGAGTATATAGATTTTATTTTAATTATATTCTTCTATCTCTTAAAACCCAAGCAAATTAAAATGAAAATAAACCTAGTCAAACATCTTAATTAGCGACTTGATCAAACTTGATGCACAATTGCACACGACTTTCACCTTAATTTATTTTTCTTTTCTTGAGAAACAGAAAGACATCAATCGATCTAAATTTTATTGCAAATCGAAGTTCAATATCAATAAAATAAAGTCATTTAATACTTTTAAAACAGACATAACTATGAGTCAATGGATTCACTCACTTTCAAACAACTAAAAAAAATGATGTAAACTACATACTCCCTCCGTCCCAAAATATTTGCAACGTTTGCTTTTTCAGCAATCGCGGGAACTTTTGTTTATTTCTACGTGTTCATTGGTTATTTGATAAAATAAAATATTCTTGACACCTCTTATTTCGAAGAACTTTTCATGTAGTTTTTTGATATGTAAATTTTATTTTTTATTTCTATACCAATATGTAAGTAAAATGAATTGAAAAAACTTGATATTTTACCTCGGGAATACAAATGTGACAAATATTTAGAGACAGCAGGAGTAGGTAATATCACATTAGATGTGATGTAAACTACATAGGTAATATCACATTAGATAATTGAGCCCTTTAGTGGAGTATAAACTATAAAGGAATAAAGAGGTGATGATTTCCCCCCATCCTTTATCTTCGCTTGCTAAGTTGCCTAACAAAAATTAAGGACACTTTTTAATGTCCAAATGTTTGCCTCTAGTACGATTCCACCTATGTACCAAAATTTTAAGGGATCCTGACCACTACATATAGAAACTAGAAATGGAAAATAATGAAGATTGGACCAACCCCCACCATTTATATATATAAGCCCTTGGCATAGTATGAATGCCCTCTGTTTGGTTCCATGCACTGACTCATCAATGGCGTGCTTCTAACATATCTATTCACAGTAGTCCTCGTTTGGCGAGGACTCACTCGAAGCATCACTGTCATACATTGCATCCTGAGGGGATGAGGGAATTGATTCTCCATCCGCAGAAGATAAACCTGTTTTATTTTGCAGGAGACGAACAAGTTTATGCCAGCCACGGGAGGAAATTAATGAAAAATAATGAGTAAATTCTAAAATTAGTCCTTTATAACAGAGGTTTTCCCTATATAGTTCTCTATTATCAAATTACGCGCACGGTCCTTTTTTTATAGGTACCTTTCCATGAATAGTCTTTTTTTGGCCTACTACCATGTTAGTTTTAATTTGAGGTTTAAAGTGTAATTTCACATTAACTCTATGTCCAGTGACGTATTCTGATGTCGGTTAAATGGACAACACAATAATAATGACTATGACTGTGTACTAGGACTCCGATGAAAGACCACATCGGTAGACTATGATTATAGTAGAAAACGACTGCGATTCACAAATGACGCATGAGGAGCAACCTATTGTATTGTGTATGACAAGAAAGATATATGATCATTGTGAAATTATACCTTTAACCCTCAAATTAACACCAATATGACACATGATCAAATCAGGAATATTTATGGAAAGGTACCCATAAAAGAAAGACCACAGGCGTAATTTTTGATAATAAAAGACTAAATATGAAAACCCTTTGTTATAAAAGACCAATTATGAAATTTACGTAGACTGTGTGAAGTTATCAATTTATTATCTTCACATCCATGAATATGTAACCTTGTAAGGTAAATAAGCGTGTGTCATGCTACAAATCCTACAATGGCACCACCACAAATGACTGTGTCTCACGGGTACACAAATAACAATGACTGTGTGTGCGGTACTATTGGTAAGGCAAAGTGATGTCGTCTATCTCTGGTGTCAAAATAGCATTTACCAAATAAGGATAGCTTCGTGGGTGTGTGTAACATATGTTGTAAGCCATGGTGGCCCTCTAGCATCACTCATTAAGGAAACTGCAAAAGGAGAAAGAAGAAAGGGAGCTTCATTACCTTTTTGCAGTTTAGGGTTAAACTTCTTGGTGTGCCGCCTGATCAATCTCCGAGCTTTTGAACCAGAGAGTTGCCTGGCAATAGGAGAGAACTCTGCTTCACTCTCACTCCACTCTCCACCATGTAAATCATTCTCTGCATCCCCTCTCATTGTCCTAAGCACAAAGTTTTTTGCCTTGCGGCGATGAGAACTAAAAAGGCCCTTCACCGAAGTGACAAACCCATCACCTGCCCCGTCACTGGGGCGCTTAGGCCATGATAGTGGGTGCTGTTCGGATGTCCCGGTTGAACCTCCTTCCCCATCACTGTGGTTGAGATCTATGTTGGGAACATTGCCACTGCTGTCTTTTTGGCTATGGTCTTTGCCTATTTTGAACTTCTTAATCTGTACATAAGGTCATTGTTAAGTTTTCCTGCGCTGACGACTTCAAGATTGGTCTATTCCAATGAACACCATGGGGTATGTTTAGTCTTCCCACTTCCACATTGATACAAAATACACAACAACAAAATGCCCGGATCCTCAAGTCTTGATACAGAAAAATAGTCACTAATGACGATTGAAAAGAACAGGTTTTGAGAGATAGTACCGAAAACCTTTATACTGCCTTAGAAATGAATTCTTACCTGCATTCCAGTGACCGATTTTAATACTCCCCATATGATGTGTTTCTTAACTCGCGAGAATAGCCTCCCCCAGGTTCCGGTAAATTCAACACAATGAAATGTATCCATCAGCAATCTTAAATCACTTACAGCAAATCTGGATCCTTCATATGTCACCGAGAGCTCTACCTGGATAAATATATTATAAACACAGGTCAAATTGTACGAGTACCAAAATTGTTAAATAAAATATACCCCGGAGTACTCTGTAATTGTGAGTTGTGACAAATGAAAACCAAACAGGACAACCAACCTGACTAATCTTAATATTGTGGAACTCTCTCATTCTTCGAGGCCTTTTTTCATCATTTGCTTTTACTGCCTTTTTCTCTTCCTGACTGGATCGCGCAGATTTAACAATTTTATTGGAGTCTTTTGGTTTATTTTTAGCTGTGTCGTCTTGCAGCTCCAAACTGGTCTTTGATGAAGAGACACTCGATGATTGAACTTTCAATACAAGTTCATTAGCAACTGATTCAGCAACATTTTCCTCCCATGTTCTGTCAAAGGATGCAGTCCTTCGTAACTTGGTTGCCTGCGAACACCTCAGGAGGCAACATTAATACACTATTGGACCAACCAAACAACAATAAAACTGAAAGAATTGAATAATATGATCCATCATGGCATCTCAACTAAAAGTTTAACCTTAATCTCAATGAGTATTCTATTCATGAACTGTAAAACAACTTTGAAGACTCACATCTGAGGAATCTGTAAAAGAAGAATGTGGTAAGGTGAACATGCTTGATTTGGAGGAGCTCTGAGAGTCTTTAGTCAAGGGACTCGTAGCTTCATTTGCAGACGAACCTTTCTTTCCACGCTTTAAACCAGCGGTAGTCGAAACTTTCCATACTTCCTAAGCATAGCCAAAGAACTCACATAAATACATTTCCATGAGCTTGAGGTGCTAAATCTCATTTTACATTCGACTGTTACTTTCATGTACCTGCCGTTGATGGGAGTCTTGTTCTTCTTCTGGAAAAAGGTACTCCCACATCATTCTGTACATTGTCTCAGCCAAATGAATCTTCAAGGGGTAAATCTCTACCTGAAAAGAAGCTCGTGATACACGAATCATTTAACATCATTCTCAACATAAAAGGAAGTTCAATACTGCAGCCACTCCTGCACCCCACAACAACAACAACAACAACAAATGCAATCTGACCTTGTCCGAGCCAAGGAAACAAAGGGTTAAGTGGCATGATCATATGATTATCAACTACAAGTCTCTAGTAATACTTAAACTGCAAACTTGAAAAATCATAAAACCGACTCCTAGGTATGTCTGTCAAGTACGTACCTGCCCTAATAAGGGTAGATTGTAAGAAGGGTATTGATATAATTTAGGAAGGGGTGTGGATTACTGGATTGGGCAATAAGACACTTGGGTTAAACCGAATTAAAAGATTGAATCCAATCGATTAGTTAGTTCGACTCTAGAGCTTATATACCGATTATTTTACTCTTGGATTTCCGATGTGGGATGTACTCTAACACTCTCCCTCAAGTGGACAATCGGGCCATTTTGAATCTAACCGGTTGACCACTTGCAAATGAACTCCCATTCCCTTGACTTTTTTTTTTGAGCGCCAACACCTAAAGGACCACGAGCCGCTGGGTATGGATTCCAGACAAGCAATCGTGTTAAACAGGCCACAGGCCGTTCGGTACAACCTCCATACGGACAACTGGGCTAAAGACTAACAGGCCGCTAGGAATGAACGTCTAGACAGACACCTTGACAAACGAGGTGGGCTAAAACTTGCTCTGATACCATGATACAATTTAGGATGGGGTGTGGATTACTGGATTGGGCAATAAGACACTTGGGTTAAACCGAATTAAAAGATTGAATCCAATCGATTAGTTAGTTCGACTCTAGAGCTTATATACCGATTATTTTACTCTTGGATTTCCGATGTGGGATGTACTCTAACAGGTATCAACGTAAATATACTTTAATGATTACACTTCTCTTTACATAAAATTAATAAAACAACATCACTGGTTTTATAGAAACTGAAAAGAGCCAATACCTGAAGTAGTTCAATAGGAGAGTGTCCATCTTTTGGAGGCCCCTGTTTTGCATCTACATGTAGCATAACTTTTCTGCAGATGAGGTATCATAAGATCATTAAGCACAGAAAACGTGTTTATTGTTGCTTCTTGCATCACAAGATATGTTGAGATACAAAATGCTTGAGGAGAAACCTTGAATATTTGAACGGGAATGGATGTCATGAAAAATAAATGTGACACAAATAAGAGATGCACAATGGTGATACATTATTATTTTAGCAAATAAGAAAGTCAAATCTAAAAAATTAGAGTTCTATATAAATGAAATTATGGAAAATTCAGAGCAAGAAACAGAACACGAAAAAGAAGAGAAACATACTTTCCCCATTCAGGAGGAGGATTCCAGGCTGAAAGAACCATGTCACACTTGGCATTCGGCAGACAGTTTCTTATAACAAAGAATTTTATTGTGAACTTTGCAACACCAACATCTTTGTAATCCCTGTCAAAATCATAAATCTGCATCAAGAAATTACATCATTCTTAGTCATTTCAGTTTATAGGAAGGCCTATTCATGCACAATTAAAATTTGTGAAATATGAATATTTGTCTCTCAGATAACAAAAAAGAGGAAGTTACAGAGAGAGGATTTGAACTTGCTAAGCTATCCCAAATACAAAAAACTACCACTCTGTTATCATAACCAGATAAGAACTACCCCAAATGGATGAAAATGTAGTTCACATTTATTTGCATTTAATAACTAAATCATGTGTTTAAGTGTTTTATTTGGAGTCATGTGTTCCTCGAGCTGGGGGTTTCTTGGAAACAGCTTCTCTACTTTCGAGTAGGGGTAAGGTCTGCGTACACACACTCTCCCCAGACCTTACCTCCGTGGGATTCTACTGGGTTGTTGTTGAATTTTAGTATGCCGGATGAATTCTAAGGCTGATACAACCATTAAAAGAGGGTGTATAAATTGCAAGTTCAGTGGTAGACAGTAAAAAGGATGTGCAAAGATGACAATGAAGATTATATCAATGTGCTACAAGACTTCGAAATGTGTTAGAACTCAGAGTGGTGAATAAAACTAAATAAGCTGAGCAAAATGTTTTACCAAACTATAGATGATCAAAAGAAACAGTAGGCTTATCATAGTTATCATTAAGACAATGGCTGTGATTTTAAAATCTAAATCAAGGATAAAGCTTAGTTTGACCAAATTTTTACCTTCAACTCATACAAAACCTCATGATATATAAAGTGGAACTAGACAACTTGAATACTTATTTTGTTGTATGCTACCATCATTGCCAGAGAAGGATTTAAAGGGTGTTATGTACGCTTTCTTAACTAGTTTGAGCCCAGAGGACACATAAGTTGGAGAAGAAAATATAAGCAGACTTGAATAAGAATCTCACCATGTCGTTAATCTCAGCTTCAGCAAATGATCTTCCATCTATAAGCATGCTCCAAGCAACTTTATTAATTCTTAAATAAATGCGCATAGCATGTGAAGGACTTTTATTCTTTTCTTTCTCCATCAAACGTATCTGTGCAGCCTTCTGCAGGGCTGTCCTTAGAGAAGCAGATGCAGCTTTTCTAGATTTTTTGGCACTTGCTAGCTCTTCCTTTAGTTTTTGCACCTGTACAACCGAAATTTAGGGAAACCTATAATTATACTCTATAGTTAATGCATGACAATATCAAATAACTATCAAAACAAGTTTGCACAAACAAGCCATTTGCATTGTGTTATCAGCTCTTTTGCTAACGACTTGTGAAGCCCCTATACTGCCAATCCTAGGTTTCAAATAAGCAAATAGGTAAGGTATGATTTTACCAGAAATAAGAATTTCTATTTGAAAGATAAGGTTTGTCAAAGAAGGCAAACAGAAAAGTGATTCCTCTGACAGTAAGCGTGATGAATATATTTAACCATGAATGTGTCGGCTGGAGGCATAACATGTTGTCTTAATAATAATAACACAAACTTTTCTAACCCAATCTTAAGGACATTTCCAGCATGTGATGTTGCACTATAAAAAAATTCATTACATACATGATGTCTCTAAAGAATTAAGTCAAATAACAAATGAAAATTAATAGGAATTGGTCAATAAAAAACAAACACTCTTACAACAAAGAAACTATATTGCTTACCAGTACAGATCTTCCACCAGTTACCATCCACGGTTCCATATCCTTCTCTGAGCATTCCTCTCCACACACATCATTGCAAAGAGACAATTTCCTTATGTCATCCAAGATTAACATTATGGCACGTTCTTCTTGTTCATGGTTGATTCTTGCTAATTCTACCTCTTCGACACCATAAGGAACGACTTCATCTGCCTCCTCTTCGACATCATCATCCTCAACTTGATATGACAGATTAACTTTTCGAGCCCTGAATCACAATATTTAATGTGACCACTTGATCAAGATATGCATACATTCTTAACAATGTTACTCATGAATCAAATACTTTGTGTATCTCAGTATATGGGATGTTAAAGGGTTGAATGTGTAGACAAACATATGAGTGAACGGTGATACTTCCATTGTTGGGACTGCATGTACTTCCCCTAACTATGCATTAGTATGATACTATCTGCTTTGGGCCAAGCCCTCAAGGGTTTGTTTTTGGGCACCAACCAAGAGGGCTTATACTAATGGAGTCGGGTGAACCATATATATGAGTGTATTTTCTCGTCTCCTTCTGCATGGTATTTGGGCTGTTTCCCAACATCCATGACAAACGTTTACAGTCTATTAGAGATTATAGCAAGATTTGACGATCCATACTAGAGATAATGCATATACTTACTTTGGAGCCCTAGCAAGGAGGAGATTGGTTAACACATCTGTCATAACTTGAAATTGGCGAGATGTCATTGTTGCAGTTATATTCTGCGAATTGAAAGAAAGCTCTTTCAAGGGCTTCACCTGCAATACAATATATAAGCTAGGATCAACCTACATGAAAAGAAAGTTCGAAGGAAACTAATGTAATGGCATATGAATTTGTTAGACTGCAAACATACCTTCAAGTCTGGAGAGCCAGCTTTATGCCTTGTATAACGGAAAAACATATCACAAGGCATGAAAACTTGTTCTAGTAAAGCTCCTGTCCTTTTCACTTTTGGTGAGTTTTTACGAATTTTGGGAAGCCACTGTATTCCAGCCCCTAGATCTACATCAGTTGGAGCAACATGAGCCTGCACATGCTCTAACATCATGGAAAACTCTCTGCGGCTCCATGTCATTTGTGAGAGATATTCTGAGTTTTGAACATTTCCGGCAAGAGACTGTTGAATTTCCTCACTGCAAATATGCATGACTGAATGAAATGAACGAGCTAAGACACGTCCACTAGCAGCAGCAAGCAAAAATCTACCCTGCAAATTAGAGGGAGCTGTACATTGTTATCATGTGATTTGAAATTCCTAACCTTTTCAATCGGCGGATCAGTTTTCTATGGGCAATGCAAAATTTCTGTACAAATTGGTAAAAACTATAACACTCAGTCGTCAGTCATGACATCTAGTTACCATTGCCAGTTTCTTCAGTCAAAGAATGAAGCAAAGGAAAGTGAAGAACAGAAGAAGAGAAGCCTTCCCTGTTAACTCTATGATATAAAAGTAATCAGAACTTGTCCCTATGGTGATGCAACTAAAGGATATTCATATGACTCATTTACACATCATTGATACGTGAAAACATAAAGGAGCAGTAAATGGATTCAACTAAATTCATGAAGAGAAGCCACATGAATTTATTTTACAGGTAAATCATTCCCAGGCAATTCTTTTATGCTGAAACTTTCAAGATAGAACCTACATTTGCATCTTCAGAGTGAAGATTGAATTGTGGCTCAATGACATTCACCATGAAATGTCGGATCCCCTCTCCATCGGACTCTTCATTATTACTAGGTTTTGCTGAAAAAAAAGGATATAATGATAAACCATAGATAGCAACACCCATTGGCTTTAAAAATTAAAAATTTGAAAAGCATGACAAGGAAATAATGCATAAACAAATTGGACCTTAGGAACATTACAACATGTATAATATCTTGGGATAAAAAAAACTAGTATGTACTCTTCAACACAACCTGTTGCAATACATGAAAAAAGAAAGCTAAGGTACATTACAAATTTTACCTGTTGCATTAGGACTTTCCACCTTGACTGAATTAGAGGGTGACCTTTGCAATTGTGGTTCTGATATTCCAGCATTTTGTGGAGGTGATGAACTGACTTCTTGACTAGGAGGAGACGTTTGGTGATCATCTTGAGACGTCTCCGAGTTTTCAACTACCTTACTCTTCTCCTCAAGCAACTTCATTTGAGTATATTGCCGAGAAGGAGATGGTTTTGGAGGTTCAAAAGCTTTAGTCAATCCACCAACAAATGAAAAAACAGCAGCTCTATTGTCGAGATTCCATAAAAGCTTTAGACCATAAACAAATATGCGCTGACAGTTATCTGCAATTACTGTATTGCATCCATCATCATCCGGGGATCCAGATTTTGCATGCTCCCCACCTTCACCCGCATTTTCAAACTCAGATGTTACATCTGTCATCTCAAGATCTCTTCTAAAAGATTCTTGCCATGCCAATACTCTCTCTGGATCAGCTCTAGGAGATTGTCTCTTGATCATGAAGTAATCAGACAATAAAAGAAAACCGTCATCGGGATGTCTCTCTCTGCTACCATTAATAATCTCATTTTTATCATCAGCAGTCTGTTTCATAGAAGCAGACTGTGAAGTCTTCCTAGTCAGATGAATGACTTGTGCAACACTCATGCAATCTTCTTTACTAATAAATACCTTGGGCATGTGAAGATCCACGCTTTGATAAACAAGATCGAGAGGATCACGCACACTTTCAAACGTAAATTTTTGTTGCCCGCGACCAAGATAAAGTTCTATTTTCACTCTTTCCATCTCAAATGTCAAACCCTTAGCTGGATCATCATCTTCTAGCGGTATATACCTTATGCATGTAGGAGTTGAATCAATCCTGAACATGAATTCTGTCATTACTTTGTCTAATGACAGATTCCCAGATCTTGGAATCCTAGGAACTCCAAAACGGGGCCACCTAGAAAAGGTCCTAATTTTGTTAGGAGGGAGGTAATTTAAGTTCCAAAATTTTATTAGCCACACTAAATCATGAGGACCAACATTTATTGTGGGAGAATTAAGTGCTGCACATACTGGCTCTGATTGACTATGACAAGAGGGCCTAAGCAGAACATTCCAGGACAGTGACAGTGCAGTTGATCTGAAGGGATCATAAACCTTTTCGCGAGGAACACCTTCATCTGGAAGTGCAAATAAGTAATGATTAAGGGGATTTCCAGAATCACATTCCCATTCCATAGTTACCTCAACATTGAAGTCTGGGGCCTCTAGGAAAGGACAAAAAGATCCATCTGGAAGTTTTAAATTGGAGCTTTTTAAAAATCTCTCCAAACTACTTGATAGGATCTTGAAATCCTTCACAGATGCATTAATACAACCATCAGATTGTTTCACTTCCATAAGACCAGATAAGACCAAGAGCTTGTCAGACTCTTCATAGGGATCGGTTGTAGCAAGAATATTCCATCTGGTTTCAGCAAAGTATAAAGATGTGTTACCATGAATATAGTTTCTCATTTCGTCCCACCACGGCAAGCTCTTTTCCTTTTTAGGTGGAGGAGGATCAGGGTTTGGGTTCCTAATACTTAAATTGGCTCTGCGAAGAGCCACAGAGAAAACATAGCAGATATCAGTGAACGATGGTTCAAAACTAACCCCATAGGAAATTTCAGCTTTCTGAAAATGTAAGGGCAAATCTGAATATGTTTTCATTGGTGGAGTTGTACCACTCGCTGAACGAAGTAAAGAGACCCTCCTCCATCTCCCTATATAGACATTTTGTCGAACTTGGGGTTGAAAACATGTTGCCTGAAATGTAACAGTACAAATAGTGAGGGTCTGTCAACAAGCATGTGGACATACGTTTCAGCACATGCAGGAACAATGTAATCATGCACTCCAGAATAGTGTAACACCCACATAAGAAAATGTAGTTAACCATCAGCCTTGAAGGTAAAAATATATAATGCCAAATTGCTTTTAGCAGTAATGCCGGTTTTACTGTTTAAAGGAGACATTGACTCCAATGCAGATAATTTCACAACCAAGTTTCAGAAGTCATTCGATATTCAGTTTGAATATGATGAAAATCTTCACAAACGATTTTTCTAAACATCAGTTGAGCTTCATGCTGAGTTTTAAAAGAACCCTAAATACATCATTTTAATGATAACAACTAATAATAGTTCACAGATGGATATATTATTGTCCATTGCCGATGGAGCTAAAAGAGTCATTTTTTGACGAAGTTTTAGCTTCGGATAACAACAACAACCCAGTTGAATCCCACTACAGTATGGTCTGGGGAGGGTGTGTGTACGCAGACCTTGCCCCTACTCGGAAGTAGGGAGGCTGTTTCCAAGAGACCCCCGGCTCCAACCTGCACAAAAAATATGATAGGGAACAATAGAACACAGATAAAACACCAAGTACATTGAACAGTTCCTTTACTTCTTACTTTCTATTAAGTATATGGAAGTAAGTGCAGCAACGCATCAAAGGTCTGATAGAGACAGGCTCTCAGTTTTTACAAGGGTAAGGTTGCATATATCTTGACCTCCCAAGCCCCAATGGAGATGAAATTATACTTAATTTATTGTTATTGTAGATAGAAATGTTAAAGTGCATCCCACATCGGAAGTTCAAGAATAAAATAATCGGTATATATAAGCTCTTGAGTTAAACTAACTAATCGATTGGATTCAATCTTTTAATGTGGTTCAGCCCAAGTGTCTTATTTCCCAATCCAGTTATCACTACTCAATCCTAAATTCCACCTCATTTGTCAAGGTGTCCTTCTAGACGTTCATTCCTAGCGGCACGTTAGTCTTTGGCCCAGTTGTTCGTATGGAGTATGTACCCAACGATCTGGGGGCCGTTTAACACGATTGCTCGTCTGGAAGTCTATACCCAGCGGCTCATGATCCTTTAGGTGTTGGCGCTCAAAAAAATCAAGGAAATGGGAGTTCATTTGCAAGTGGTCAACCAGTTAGATTCAAAATGACCCGGTTGTCCACTTGAGGGGGAGTGTTAAAGTGCATCCCACATCGGAAGTTCAAGAGTAAAATAATCTTATTGCCCAATCCAGTTATCGCTACTCCATCCTAAATTTTATCAAGAAATATAAGAAAAAAATTTAAGGCACAAACTAGAAAAAGAAAAATATGAGGCTATATAACACAACATGGTTAAGGGTAATTATTGAATTGAAGAATGGACCTGCTGAGCCATCACAAGGCGGCCTTCACATCTTCCCGAAGTTGCAGCAAATAATGGACATGTGTAATTTCTTATCCGAACAACAAGGGAACCTGTCTGTAAATTGATTTTACTTCCATACAGTCGTGAAAATGGAATGTTATGTGCACGACATACAGGATCTAGCTTCTGAAGGAGTTCAATCATCCCAGCATCACCTCCTTCAATTTTTGTCAAGCTTACATCTAATTCTGTGGCACACAATGAGAAAAGTGAAATTCTGGCAGCACTAGGACTGAAACCAGATTGGAACCCTTCTCTACAAGCCCCTGATCCTTGTGATGGCTCAAGATTCTGGCATGCCTGGTAGTACAACCGGAATGACTGCCTATACATTTCCTCTTGCAGTTTCTGGATAACTGAAGAGTCCTGCAAATCAATCTCCTCTCCATTTAAAAGAATCTTTCCTTCAAGAACATCAGCATTCTGGTTCTCAACACTAGGAGATTGGACACCTCTAGAGGCAAGTTTGTCAAGGAAGCTCATACGGACAGCTAATTCTCGAGCTTCATTCTTCAGCAAATGGTAATGCTCATCAAGCCAGCCTTGTAGTGGTTCTTCTTCTAGTTCTGCGGTCAGTTTACGTATGCATAATCTTACTCGCCCAGTTCTTGATGAACCTGGTACTTTGGGGTTTCTTTTCTCTTCCTTGTTTGGAAACACAAGTTTAGTTTTAGCTGCAGTAACAAGCTTCAAAGCTCGAATCATTTCCTCAACAGAATCATCAATAGCACGCAATTCCAGCCTGTATGGTACAAATATGTGAATATCTAGAGCTTGAACTACCCAATCCCATGCGGTGATTCCCCCTTTAACATTTGACAAACTGTTGGAGGAGGAATTAGGGATCCGAGAAATTTGCATCCTGCTGCTTCTAAGTATTCGTGCATTGTTAAAATGAAGAATGGATCCTTCAAGAAGTAAGCCTATCCATGCATTTTCAGAAAATATAGATTGTACCAGGATGGTGGCCTCAACCCCATCCCCTGCTTCAACAGATATATTAAGTGTTTCCACATCAATCGCATAAATGGTTTCTCTTTTATTTTTCTGTTTTTCAAGTGCTTCTGCAGCAGAGGTCTCTTTCTTTGGTTCACTATCTTCTTTAATAGGTTCCTTAACGTTATGTTTTGCCACAAGTAACTTCAACCGTAGTCCCAATTCAACTAATGCTATATGCACATCAGGCTCCCATCTCAGAGATATATCAGTAGCACTGAAGAGAGAACAAATAGAAATCTCTTTAAGACCACCAGATCGCCTTACACACTTCGCATGTTGCATGTCAAGCAATGTAACTTTAGTTGCAATGTTATTTCCTTCCAAGTGTTCTTGATATACAGATATGACCCTCTTCAGCTCCATTTGCTCAGTTTGTTTCTCTTTGTTCTTGGAAAGACTCAAATTGAGAACTTCAAGGGAAACATCATACTTCAATTCCTTCAAGTCATTTGAGGCAGTAGATGTAATACTTGCAGTCCTGGGAGTACCATCAGCAGAATCAGTAATTAAGATTCTACCCCCTTGTGATCCATAATTTACACGTTTGGGGTCTGGAACAACTGCATTTTCTAAGCCCACGTCTCCACAGAACTTCAAAGAACATCTTTCAAGATTGAATTTTATGAATTGAATCCCCTTTCCCGATGGCTTGGATGTTTTTGAAACCTGAATTTGTGATGGGTTCTTCTTACCAGAAGTAGAAAAACTCTTTAATAAGGATCTGTATGAGAAGGTTGTTGCTACAAGTGATTCAAGGCACCTTAAGGTTATGAAAAAATTCATGCCAGCTACATCAACACGAAGACCCAGACCACACGCCGTACCATCTTCAGAAGACTCTATATCCTTTTTCCCCCAATCTATGCTCACCTTTTCTGCGTGTGTTAATGGGTTCACATTTGCAGTTTCAATCCCAAATACGGCTTGCTTTAAGCATTCTTCATGCTCCTCAGACATGCGTAGATTGAATTCACCGAGTTCTGTGTGTGCTGCGATGCCAGAGCTAGATGTGTTGTTGACTGAGGCATGCAATAATAGCAAGCAACCCTACAATTTGATGAATGAACCACTACTGATGAGCCCTATAAAAATCATATTCTGCATAAACGGAGGCACACTTTTGTATTGAAAAGCATCTTACATGATACAGCGGTGAGGAACTCAAATCATAAATCACAATGGTCATCTCTGGAGCAGTACAAGTGCATGCCCATATAATGGATTTATATCCAGATGATTTTGGTTTTTCAGAAGTAGAGCCTCCTACCCGATGCACCACTTTCTTTTTCTTTAAAAAATGAAGCCGCATCCATGGAGTTAATTTAGTTATTATCAGATTGTATTGCAACCCTCCTAGCTTAATATCAATTTCAGCCCTAACTGGCAAGGTTGGCTGTAAAACAAAGCACCCCCAAAAGGTCAAACAAGATGACAAGACAATATTTAAAGATCAAAACTACTGACATACCTCAGTCGGGATATAAATGGAAGAGATACAATCAAGTTTCAAAATCTCCAAAATAGAAATGCCTGCCTCTTCAAGTAGCTATGGATAAAAAAAATAAGCTAGACATTAGACAAAGAATATGCATTGTATCAATATATCAATGCTGGAAGAGTAGTTGCATGAATACATGGATCTCACTGAATTCCATCTGTATATCAAGTCGAGTGCTTTTTCCCACATCTTCAGTTCTTTGAGATTTTGAGCCGTTCAACTGAATGCCTGCTATGTTATTCTCCATGAGGAGACCCTCTCCCCGGTGCACAAACTTCATATGCAATTTAGGGAGACTGAAGCTAAGCTATGAAGTAAATACACAAACTATATCAATCAAATGGACATAAGTGATGAGACGAAATTAAAAGAGTAAAGAAATGTGTAGTAAAGAAAAAGGATCATGTTATTTGCAACGGGAAGCAAAGTATAAATTACATACTGATAAAGACATGTTAACAATGAGCTAAATAACTGCCAAAAATGTGAATCTTTTATTTAATGTATTGGCGAGGAGCACGAAACAAATACATGGAATAGAAATTAAATGCTTTGCAAAAGCTTGTTTAGAAAATCAGCTTGCCGGACCTTTTCTGGAAACAGAGAAGCATATTTATCTATAGCCAATGAAGCATGCTTTTTCTGTGGTTTTTCAGTAGCAGCAGAGTCATTGGTCACTTTTACAACATCATCAACCTGGGAGAAAGCATCTGCTGCATTTTTCTTTTTTAAAATTAGCTCCTCACTTAGGCATAAAGAAACATCTCCACATCTGGTATCTAAACTGTTAACTACAACACCAGCTTCCCTACACCAAAAAAATAACATAGGAAAACCAAATCAAAGCAAATCAAACAGACGAGTCTCACTTGGATGTAGTGACTGTACACATACCCTACTCTACGACTCTACCCTAAGGAGTAGAGAGGTTTTTTGAAGACCTCGGCTAAGGAAAAAATTTGGAAGAATTGGAGGAAGTAAATAATCTAAAAAAACTTGCAATTTTGGGGAAAATAACATCAAGTGGGGACAGTTAGTACATGTGCAGAGTGTGGATCAAAAAAATTAGGGCAAAAAGGAAATCAATAGGAAGCATAAAACAGAAGTGAGAAAACAGAATAAACAAGCAAAACGGGAAGTGATCAGAAAATCAAGAAACTGAAGAGTTAGTACCACACAGCCTGCCCCTAACTGAAGAGCTAAGAGAGCTCCCAACCCCCCAATAGTGTCCACTCTCACACCCTACGAGATATCTACTACCCTAATCCTGCATCTCCATGTCCTTGGAGAGGGTTTAAGGAGGCCATGTCCAGCATTACCTGCTCGTTCCACGTCCTCGGTGGTCTGGCATTCCTCCTCAGTCCCTTGACCCAAAATCAAAGTATTTTCAAGATGACATGGGAAATACAGACCTACCTATCAAGACCAAATTCACACGAGAGAGAAAACTCTTCACATATAGAAGGAGCAGATGTCTTCTCTAACGGTGCTACTAATGTCTGGTAGGAAGGAACGTGTCCACCATGCAACGAAGACTGAGTATAATTGACCTGTCTATCACCTAAATATACGAGAACAGGCACCACTTTCAAATTCACAGTTAATTTTGGCTTGGATCCACCATCTTTATATGTATCAAGGGACAGCTCTTTAATCTCCACAGCAACCTTCGGTGTCTACAATATTTTAACAGAGAAAAGAAAAGGTTCAGATAGCAATACACCTTAACACATCTAACGGTGGAAAATAAAATACCATTTAAGTGTAGTTCTGCACACAAAAAAATATATATTTTCATCTAAGAATAGCTGAGATTGCAGTGCCGCATCGATACAAAGTTGAATATAACACTAGCATCAGGCCAGGCGTACCCTGAAAGACAGCTTAGTTATAGATACTGACAAAAATCTTGCCATATTAGCTAGGAACATCCACTTTCTGCAACCTGGCTTACGGGTTTTCTGAGAGGAGCGGGACCTTTTGTTCTGAGTGGCCGTTCGGGTAGCCTTCATAACAATTTCCAGATCATATATTAGCACCTTCAATTTTGGACCCCTGGACAAAACACCAGTCCCAAGTTTAGCCAACAAGTGGCGTAGACTTAATCTGATTTCTCCAACTGAAATGCTCTCAACCGATCCCTGCAAAGCGTGAGAATGAACAAAACAAGAAAGAAAAAGTGATTGAACACATCATTAAGAAATAATCTTGGCACAAGCAAATCATGTATTTATGGAACAGAATAGCACAAAAGAGAACTTCATTTATCTTCTAATTATCCGGTGGTTTAAATATACAATGCAGATAAAGAACAACCGCCTATACTACAAATTCACTCCACCGGGATGTCCACGAATAAAAACAAAAATTTTATCAGCAGATAAATCTAAGGTTGGCTTCCAATTATTTAACCAAGCATTAAGTAGACGTGAAACTTTGAAATTAATAAAAAAATACTATTCAATTTTCAAAGAACTAAAAAACTGTAAGGGAGTACCTTTTTTAACTTCACTACAACATTTCTCAAACTCCTCATTCCTGATACATGAAACTCCACAGTCACTCCCATAACACATCTCAAAATCAGAAATATCAGCTTGGTAGTAACCCTAAAACAAAAGGCAAAAATAAACATCATAAAGTAAAAAATTAAAAAAAAACAGGCACCACTGTTCACAGCAGATTCAAACGAATTTTCATAATAGTCGCTCTAAAATTCACAACATCACGAAGCAAATTTCACGAAATGGACAAATATGATACGATCAAATAAAAGTAAATAGGAAAGGAAGTAGGTGAATTGCGTTCGCATTACCGGAATAAAATCCATATGATGACGGGGAGGAAGAAGAACTTGGCCGAGAAAACCGCCATTTCCGGTGACAAAGACGCCGATCGCCAGGTTCTAAGCGGGAGATGTGTCCAGTGCGGCGGATTTATTTATTCTGTGTGTCGATACATACTTTCGATGTGAAGATGACGGGGGGAAGGAGAGAGAGAAAATTGATCGAGAAATCATGGGAGAGGGGAATGAAGGTTGGAATGAGGAAAGGTTAATTTGTGGAAGAGAGGTGAGGAAGAAACGGTCAAGAGAGACATGTGTGCGTGCACTGTAGTAGAGGAGGGAAAAAATATAATGGAAAGGAAAAAAGCAAAAGAAAAATAAAAGAGTGGTTTCTGGCGGGTGAGTTAGGTGACTTGGGACCGGTCAGCTTTCCAAAAAATGAAATTTAAATGGAAGAGGGATAAACTAAAAAATGTGTAATTTCAATGGAAGAGGGATAAACTAAAAAACGAACTTGAAAATTACATTTATTTGTATTTAAATGATTGAAATATTCTTAAAAATATTAAAAGTGATTATTTACTATTTAATTTTAATAAAAATCAATAAATAAAACAAAATTGTAAGCTAAATTTTTTTCAAAGCTTCTCACTATTTTCAACTAACTCTTTCCATACTTTTACTTCTTGATGTTGATGAGGGTATATTTACCCCTCCAAAATTGAAGAGGGTATTTTACCCTATCATATACTTCTCCCATTGGAGATTGGTTTTTATTATATAAAAAAAAAGTAAAAGGGGTGATTAGAGCCTTTCACCACCTCTTATACCCTTTACCATTGGAATTGCTCTTAGCACAATTTTACCTAATACATCAAAAAAATTCATACATTAAAAGTATATGAAGTTTTTAAAATTAATTTAATTATTATTAAATTTACTCCATATTATAAGCTCATACCAAATACTATCTTCGTCCCAGAGTATTTGTCCACTTTCATTTTTACACACCACCCATTACACTTCTTTATTTCATTTTATCTTGTAATTTGTATATTAAAAAATTATAAAAATTATATATTAATAATCTATATGTTAAGACAAATCAAACAAGATCACACATAACTATATTTAGGCTTACACATTGAGAGAATTTGATGAGTCAAAGTGTTTAGATGAACAGTTCCAAAAGTCAAAACTGGACGAATACTCCGGGACGGAAGGAGTATGTGAAAAGATATGCAGTTCACATGTGAACTTAGGATCACAATAACACAATTCTTAGGATGGAGGGAGTAATAAAAGATTCAAAATTTTGAGGGCATGGGTCATTCAAAAAAATCAATAGTAAAGAGAAGGGTATTGTTGTCATTTGCTAGTTTAAGATATAAGGAAGTATAGTGCAATTATAAGTTTGTAAGTCTCAAAATAAAATCTGATATTTTTAATATGATTTTGTAATTTCCCGGGGCCCATCATAACAGAAGTATAATATGACTTTCAATTTTGAGCTTCCATACATATACTCCATATACTAGTAGAGGCGGGCCTACGTTGACTCCCATGGGATCCCGAGACCCCACAGGTCTCCATGTATAATCTTATATATACTAGAGATAATGATAATGATGATAATGATAATAATAATTAATAATTAATAATAATAATAATAATAATACTAATAATAATAATAATAATAATAATAATAATAATAATAATAATAATAATAATAATAATAATAATAATACTCCTGAGGTGTTATGGCGCTAGTTCGATTTGCCACGCGAGCCAATTTCGCCTCTTTTTCTTTCCTATACTTTTTTTTGGTTGCCTATACTCTATATCAATTGAATTTTTGAGTGGGATGTGTTTGAATTCAATTGTTACTCAATACTCCCTCCGTCTTAAAACTATCTTCCCAATTACTAATTCATAAGACCATACTTAAATCATTTTTTTTATCTATTTTTATTAGTAATTTGATAAAATAATATAGTCTTGTCCCGTTTTTCTTTATTGAATTTTTGATGTAGTATTTAAATATATAAATTTTATTTTTTAATTTTACACCTACAATCAAATAAATTGAATTAAAAATAAAATCGGTCAAACATCATAAAAATATTAATCCTTTGTTGCCTAACTCGCAATACAAACAATGGTAAGGTTCTTTTGACAACTATTGTCGTCATAATATGAACACACCTACAATGTTATGCTCGAAAAAATGTTACTCCGTATTTCCTATCAATTTTTTTAACAGAACACTTGAAGTGTTGTTGTCATTTATGACAACAATTTCTATTGTCAAAAGAATCGAGAGGTACAAACAAATAACAACAACAACAACCCAGTTAAATCCCACAAGAGTAGGGTCTGGGGAGGGTGTGTGTACGCAGACCTTGCCCCTACTCGAAAGTAGAGAGGCTGTTTCCAAAGAGACCCCCGGCTCAACGTCGAAAGTTGTATTGCTTGACTAACTGCTACTTCATTAATTAAAGAAGCGCAGAGAGTTTAGAGATCCATTTTGATTTATTCCATCACACCCCAAAGCCAAAAAATTGTGAAATTTTGGCTCCATCAGAGATGATGGAACTAGGTACAAACAAATACAAAATGTAAAAATATGTATAATACCGAGTATGATATAACTAGAACACTTATTTTCTAAGGGAGTATCTCTTTATGAGTTCCCGCGCAAAGTGAGAATAAAAAAATACGGAAAATATCGCACCACGAAAAATTCAAACATAAAGCCACGTGAACACTCTAACATCCTCATTGCAAAACTCAAAGGCCAAAGATGGGACGAAAAGCAACGACAAACACCTCACACTTCATTTCATGATAGTGAACGTAGGAATAAATAACCACGCGTCCGGATCCACACACATATACTATGAATAAGGAATAAATACATTGAAAAGGGAGAGGGAGATTCAAATATTCGGCACGAGATGATACACTGGAGAGGCCTGGATCTAAACCATACACTACAAACGGGGAAGTGAAGTTCATTGTATAGGCTTGGTAAGGTTGTTGACACAGAAAAAAGTTCTGCAATTGTGTTGGCCAAAAGCAAAGGGATGATGAAACCACCCAGCTTACCATGTTTTTTCATTAGTATCAGATTTCTATGGAACGAAACTGAAAAAAAACTCTTTCCTAACCTTTTTTTATCCTTCGCCGTTTGCAAAAGTCTCATTACTGCGAGAGAAGCTTGGAATCACATGCCACTATCTTGACATGGCCAACCGTCTCCTGGCATTCCTCGCTCTTGAATACAGCATCTTGTAAGATAAATGTCCAGACATTGTCACAGAATCTATAAGTGTGAAGATGCCCCTGATAGTAGCACACCAAGAATGCCACACGTGTGATTGTTATTGTTGCAAAATCATTCCATCCCATAAATATCTTCATTCTTTCCATTTTGGTTCATCTAAAATAACTTCACTTTGAAGGAAAAGAATATGTGGCTCAAAAAACTTATCTTCTTATCAAAAAATTTAGCCACACCCTTTTCACTTTTCAACAATTTTCTTGAACTCCATGAAAGTGGAACCAAGAAGTTTTTATGGGAAGGAGGAAGTACATTAACGGGAGCAAATGACTATGAATACTGAAATTATTATTGTTCTTCAAATTTGCCTTCTGGCCTTCTTCGAATTTGCCTTCTGGCCTTCTTCGAATTTGCCTTCTGGCAATCAGGACATCTTAACTCAATTCTTAAAAGTTTCCTTTTTAAATTAAACCTATAAATATAGTGAAACAAATGGTTTAGTACTAAAAATGGTGCTTCTTATAGAAATCTAGAGAAACTTAGTAGTCAATAGAGCCATTCAGCCATTCTGTTGGTTTTCTCTTGGAAATTGGTTTAAAGATTTCAATTTTTTTACACCAAATAATAGAGAGTTGATCAGGAGTTAACTGAGTTAGTTAGACATCAAAATGTAAGATAACATTACTTCCATATGTGGGCTTATACACTTTGACTACTGAAATTGTAGGCCTCACAGGTTTGGAGGCCACACGCAATTGTCCATTTTGAACTTGCACAGGGTTGGGTGTATCCTCTCCTTTACTAAACTTTCAACAACAGCCTAGTAGAATCCTTTACTAAACTTTGAACCCAAATAATCAAAACAAAATTTGACCATTCCCTCTCCAATCTTTTATAATCCACTCCCTTTCAATTACTAAACTCCTTCCCCTTGTTCCTTTCAAATGACACTGCTTTGTAACCTACGTATAATATAGTATTAAAAATTGTAATTGGCATCCACTTCAAGACCCAATCACTTGCTAGTTCCCATTGTCACTCTGTAAGCCTCATTTTCATTTGTACTATGTGATTGTGCAAGGATTTGATTTTGGCCACTATTGAGAATGCACCATGGAAAAATATCCTTCTTTGAGTATATTTCAAGACATTTTAGGTTACCGTAATGCAATTCTTCTCAGTTCCTACCGGGCATGGACACGACGAATGTGGTCTAAAATAATATGAACATAGCAACTAGTAGTCAATGAAGAAGTGGTTTCTTGCCGAGGGCGCGTGGACTCTACTCTACATCAACTACTAGTTGATGAAATTGGTCATTTCTCTTTAATTTTTGTTTACCTATGGCCTATGACCAATGCTTAAAAACTTAAGGTTCAGCTAGTACCAATGACCCCCCCCCCAACCCCAAAATTACATAATATATATTCTTCCAGTATCACAGGTGAAGAATATTGCGGGAACCATTGGTCTGGGAGAAAGACAGTTTCCAGAAGGACTAACTAGTAACTACCACTGGAACTGAAGGATTTCAAATATTTGGTAGAGTAGTAGAGTGCATGATTGCATGAAGATGCCTTTTGATGAATTTTTAAAAAGGCTGTCTCTATCCTTTCTTGGAGCATATTGAACTATTCACAGGGCAACATTGAAATGACACCTGCTCGGAGCCAACTCTGGGAAATTTGGGGCAAATTTGTGTGTTTAGATGATTCTTACTTCCTGTCTAGCCATATTCAAACCAAGAAAATTGCTAAAATGTTAAAGAAAGTTCAGAGACTAGTATCACTTGAAGATGGTTTTAAATTTTTCTTTTCCCCCGTTAACATTAAAGATCCTACATAAATGTGCATCCACACTACCTTTGTACTGAATATTTTAATAAATGAATGATCTCTCGGCCTCTTGAAACATAGTCATGCTACTAGAGCAACAAGAGAAGGTTGATGCACAATGCTCCTAATGAGATTGTCCAAAACATGCTTCCGTGAGACAGGAGGACCAGAAAGTTATCAAAAGCACTAAACATTACCAATTCATTGGATTTCCAGAATGTATAGGTTCTACTGGGTTGTTGTTGTTGTTGTCAACTAGTAAATCTAGTAGCATTTTGGTCAAGCGGGGTGATTGAAAAGTCAACATGCTGGAGATAGAGGTTCAGTTTTATGTAGCGGTCCTATTTGTAGGTTCATGGTCTACTTCTGATATAAACAAATGGAGATGGAAGTACTTGTGCTTGTAGAGTAAATATAGTTTTGGCAGCACAAAGAAAAAAACTAGTAAATACGAAATATAAGAAATAAGTTCTCTGGTTTTCCGTAAATTATGATAGGCAAAACTAAAAATGTACCTTGATGGACACCTTGTTCTTCACTTGAGACTCCAGAGCTTCAGTCATAGACTGCATCAAGAAACACACAGCCTAATAGATCCACGATATGAAGACAAAAAACAAAATCCTAAACCTAAAAGAGAAGAAAGCCACAGAAATATGGTTTGCTTCACAAATGCAAAAGCCAACTAATGTTCAATGAGCAAACTTGAAACCCATAACCAATTTTCTATTGGAGGAGTAATATACATTCTTATATACTTCATTCGTCCCAAAGTAATTTAACCACTTTTTCCTCTTCCCTTTTTTGGGAAAGAAAGTAGGCAGTCCAAGATAATAATCTCTCTTCTGAACAAATTCTAACCACTCCATTTTCATTTTTCTACATCTTTTCAATATCCTATCAATAACTTCTCTTAACATCCATGAAATCAAAATGGACAAATAAACCCGACTCCCTTTTTGAACTCCAATAAACAATTGGTTATAGGAACCCTAAAAGGCATAATAACCAAAATCATAATAAAGATGGTGGAAACAAAAACCTTGTCGAACTGAACAAGGACTTGGATGGCAAGCTCGGGGCTGAGGGTGCCACTGGAAACCATCTCATCTAGGGTCTCAGTCAAGCACATACCAATCGTCGATCTCCTGTAAAGCTCGAAGGTCGCCATTCCCGTTCTTCTCAGGATCTGCAAACATAATTTTCATCAAATCAAACAACCGATGAAAAAGGAAAGTGAATCTAGCGACACAGATTCAAAACTCAACACACGAATCCGAAGCTAAATTGCATGATCAAAGTAGCATAATCGGAAGCGACAATGAGGTGCTGAAGAGAAAGCATCCGAATGTGGGAAATGGAAGAGAGACAGAGAATAGAGAGAGAGAACCTCAGCTTGGCGTTCGAAGAGAGGGAGAGGAATTGGGGCTTTTATACCCTAGAGTTCGTAGCTGGGTGCTTATATAGGTGAAGGCGGTGGAATGAGAACTTGAAAGTACAGATATGTCCTTACTGTTCTTTTTTTTTTTCTTTTTCTTTTTGTTTTTTTGCTTAAACGCAGATTTATAGTCCTTCCACCCCCGTATTTCGCACTTTTCTCAAATCACTCCTAAAAAATTTTAGGAATTCTATTTTTTCTCTCTTCATCATCATCTCCAAATAAATGTCATATTTTCTATTACTCCGTGTAATATTTTAAGGGACACTCTTTATGGTATGGAGTGATATTTTGATCATGTTTTCACGATTATTTAAAATAAATATAGCATTTAAAGATAAAATTTATATAGAGAAAAAATAACTTAAATTAAGACAAAAACGTTGTAACTTTAGGTAAATAAGACTACTTTTAATTTTTACTTATTTAAAGCATATAAACTCCTATATTCATGCATTTACCTTTTCTAATTTCAATTTTTCCACTTTTTTATTTCCAACTTCGTTATACTGTTGATTTAGTATATATATTGCATTCACGATTGTGCAATAAGATTAGTCTTAAATGCGTATTGCATTCACAATTCGTTGATCTTCGATTAGCTTTATTATAGGAGGTATCTTAACTTTGAGTTATATGATAAAAAACAAATCATTTTCAATTTGTAAGAAAGTAATACCACATGTAAGCTCTTTCTATTTGTCCGGTGAAATGCTTATTTGGCATCCATGTAAGCTCTTTCTATATCCTACATGACATCCAAGTGATCCAATTGACATTTCTCTTCATTGTACGTAATTTTTTTCTTAAAAATTTAAGGACATCATTTTTATATACAATGAATGAAACAAAAATAGAACTTTTCATTCAGATTGCAATATATGTGTTGTTATTGCCGAATGACAATATCACATTGATTAAAATTAAATCGAATATGCAATGATTTTTTTAATAAAAAAAGTGCAACCTCAAATAATTTCTTTGGAAAGTAAAATTTTATTACAAAAAGAAAAAATTTATTACAAGAAATCCCATTGATACAATATAATCCAAGGCTAAAGAACATATTCCAACTAATGTGAAATCACAACCTCTTAGTCTAAAAGTAATTAGATGTAGCATATTTCTAATTACTAGCATACTTTTTTCTTTTCTATTTATACGTTTAGTATGAGCCACCCTTTCCTCGTTGTATTTTTTCTTCTTTTTATAATAAATCTTTACTTTCCAACAAAAATGTTTTTAGTGTACAAGTAGTTGTACTCCGGTGGTCTTTTTTAAAAAATTAATGCATATTTGTTAGAATATAAATAACTGTTCTTGGGCCACAACCACAAGCTTAGCTTTTGGTTGAGTTGGTTCCTTGACATGGTATCAAAGCCTCATTGACTAAGAGGTCACGGGTTCGAAACTCAGCGCTACCCAGTTTAAAAAAAATTAAGGTTTCACGTGCAATGCTCGAAAAAGACTACGCTTGCACGTGAGGTGGCGTGTTAGAATATAAATAACTGTTCCTGGGCCACAACCACAAGCTTGAGCTTTTGGTTAAGTTGGTTCCTTGACAATATTCAATTTAATTTTAACAATGTAATATTATCATTCCACAACAACAGCACAAATATGACACTTTAAGTAAAAGATTTTATTTGTATTTCATTCCTTGAATATAAAAAATAATGTCCTTAAATTTTAAAGAAAAAAGTTACAATGAAAAAATGTCAATAGTATGTCATGTAAGATAAGAAAAGAACCCGTGTTGATGCCAAATAAGCATTTCACCGATCAGAAAATCATAAATCCAACAAGGGTGTCATTTCTGTAACATTATTATTTAAATGATTTGGTGTAGTTCAGCTTTAAAAAGCATTCAGTACCATATCGCTTCGGAATGGCATGGTACAATGTTATAACATTGTCAAACGATATCGCCATACCACACTATTTTAAGAGTTGAGAAATGATTCTATTACAAAATGCTAAACAAGTAAAGCTTTCTAAAAAAAAGTAGAGCAAAAATATTTGGCGCACCAATATATTTTTATGTCCTTACACAACAAATGTATTGTTTAGAAATATTTTGTTTACGAAAATCGTAACAAACAAAAGCTAAAGATATTGAAAAATAACAAAGGTAAAATGAACAATTAATTTACCATTTTAATCGTAACGATCCAGTTTGGTACCTCGTTTATTTGAGAAACATACATTGCTTAAAAAAACACTTTGACCGGTAACATTGGTCCCGAGAATCAACAAAGTAAAAATTGTGTGGTGTTGAAATTTATACACAAGAGCCAGCAGCAAATCCAGCAATAATACAAACCGCATATCTCTCTTTAAAATGGAAAGAGACATAATTTTGGTAAGAACACAAAAGGAAAGTTATAACATGATGGTTAAAACACTACATAGTGAATGAAACACAAAAGGGAAAAAAAGGGTTTATAATCTACTTACCCAAGTAATGCTGCAACACAAAAATGACTAGATCTTGGGAGCTTCTAGACGAATATAGTCATACATGATCCCCTGGAAGGGGCTTTGATTCCTGGGTTGAGTCAAGTAAATGGTATTCTCTCCTTTAGACACCAGACTACTTCCATGGACATCCACATTGAATAGCCAATACAGACCATGGATTCCAAGCCTGGCTATGGAGTTATCCCTCCCAAACAATCTGCTCGTGAACAGCGGTCGATCTGTACTTGGATTATTAACCCGGACCTTCAGTCGAATTTTCTACAAGTGAGCGAATTGCTAGGCAGAACAAAAAGGTGATAATAAGAAACCATTTGTATTATAACTTATGAACCTGTAACTCGGCAAGTGTCGAAGATGCAATTGCCACTCGCAACTTGTAGGTGCCATTTTTATGGACATTATCAAGTTTGAACTTGATTTGCCATGTGGTTCCTACATATGTCCCGTCTTCTTTCTTCCTGCAATAGCCGTAGCCAATCATGGGAAAAATTAAAAATCTGTTTGGCAACTTGGGATGTTCAGAAACCTTACTTTTGTAGGATTTTATTGGGTTTGTTGTTCTTGTTGGAAACTTGGGATACTAACAACACTGGAGAAGTGTGGAGCTACCCATACCTAGTAACTTGAGCAAAAAACCAGTCTTTGGAATAGTCGCTCTTGCCAATAGTATAGACAAGGTCACCGTGTGGATATAACTCTGAGTATCTTTCCCAAAGTCCATATTGCCTGAACCTGCGTGCATAATAAACTCAATTGAGTCATGCTACATTCACCCCAACCCTATGTTTTGTTCATGTAGACACACATGCACAAGAGCTTGTTTGTATGTATCTGTGTGAACAAAACATGGAAAGTGAGGATGGTGTTGACGTTGGGCTGAAAATGGTTTTATCCGACTCAATTACCTTTCGGGGTGGTTGATGAAAATCTTGTTAAGATACTTTGGGTTGGGATCGGGAATGTAGAACTCTGCAGCACTACGATCAGGGATGCCTATCTCCCAAAGTGTAGGGCCATCCCTTGGAGGCTCGTAAACGATTTCACCGACATCAATTCTACAGCCTTTTTAATAAATACATAAATACTTTTACCAAATGAGAAGCATTTCAAGAAATGCATGCACAAGATCTTATCCCTACCTAGTAGAGAGAGTCAATAAATACATGAACATTTATTTAGTAAAAAGATTAAGCTATCAATTTTGAATATTGAATTTAGGACCTGAAGCTATTGTTATGGAGGCTTCATTCTGATAGTCTCCTATGAATCCAGGTACCCATGCATAAAGATTGTAGTCACCGGGAAGTACATTGTTGATGGTGAAACATCCATCCTCACTCGCTCTACTCCAGAATTGGTAACTCTAGTGAAAGGGGTTTGTTAAAAGCTAATTAATTATGATTACCATCGGTAGGAGACTTTTTCTGCTTATTCAGAGAAAACATTTGAAGCCTATAACCCAAACTACGTACCTTGCATTCTTTTTGCCACGATCCCGCATCTCCTTGTGGGGCCAATCCCACATATGCACCACTTGCAGGAATAAGATCATTACAGACATACCTGTTTGAATAATTTCAAACGCTTTAGAAAGGCATGCTTGTTGAAAAAATTGGCAATAGGACACCTGTAACTTGTTATTGACCAATACAGTAATGTAATTGAATCCCATATATCATCCTCACTTGTCATTGACCAATAGTCTGCCACTGACATTTCCCCGTTGATCTGCTGAAAGGAAATCCTTAGATGCTGGAAAGCTGTATGGCCAGCTTTGTACCTCTACTAGCATCTGAAACCCCAATCAGTACTTTCTCAAAACACTTACATCATGTATACTTATTAACTTCTTAAGGTCAAAGAGAAAGAGAGAGGAAAGAACGAAAGAAGACAGCTTTTCACTGCTAAACCTGCCGTTTGGCATCGCCCCATAAAGTTAGAGCATCTTCAGCACGCATTGCAGAGTTAAGATAAATGAAAATTGGTCCAAAAACTTTCTTCCATGCCTCGCCTTGTTGAAACTTTGGTGTTAGCTCATCTCCAGCATAATGAGAGCCTAGGAATACCTACAGATGCAAATTAGTACTACTACAAGCTTGAATGTGGTATTAATGGTGATTGGTGTAGCACCAAGTAAATCCTATGTCTAAATGATGAATGATAAATATTTATGCTTACCGCTAGGGTTGTGGGACCGACATGTGATGTAAGGTTCTGTTTGACAGGACCACCAGATCGGAATTCATCACTGGGTGTGATTTGCCAGAACCCCACAGGTGGGTTCATAGATATCCATCCATGTACTTTATTATCCTTGTTTTCACATGAATACTGGTACTTGTCATCTACCTACAAAGTATAGTGTCATCACAACAGTTTATGACTGTGATGACAAACTTCCCAATAATACCCATGGATATACAATCNCATTCTTGCCAGTAATTCAAAATGAAAGGCTGAAATACTCTTAGTCTAAATCAATTTCAAAAATGTTCTTCTCATTTCCGTTCAAGGAAAGAATTGTATTGCTCATACCAGACAAATTTTACTGCCTAAAAGACTGTAAAAACTAAAAAGTACATAGTAAATACAAAAAACGAATTGAGATGGAGGGAGTAATCATTAGTTCATTATTACTTCTCCTCTTAATTCAGGATTGATAGGATTGACAAGTAGGACTGCTTCTTGATAAGCAAGGGGCTGGCATCTGCCATGCAACCGGTCATCTGGAAGGGGCATAAACCTTTGCCTATTGTCTGCCACAGCCATGTAGTGAAATCTATGGGAAACAATTGTCCAGTGGTTAATATCCTTGTGAACATCTCAGAGAAAATCTCCTCTTTTTTAGATTTTGCCTCAACTCCTTACTTGTCTTTTCGAAGCTTGAATGCTACTCTGGTCTCACCAAGACTGAAAGCAGGCCACTCTGAAGATCCAACATGCTCATAAATGGCATATGTGTAGAAACCAGACGAACCGCGTAGCAAAACAAACCTATGATGAGATTGTCATGTCATTATTTATGTTCAAATGTCCCTAAACATTCTGGCAGACACGCTTACTTTTCTACTACTTGACTCTAGTGAAAACAAATAAAGACCTTTTATCAATGTTTAGAGGAACAAGCTTTCCCTGGAGGGAAGGATCCCATGGCCTTGCGAAGGATAACTCAACCTGTTCATCTTCTTCCTTTATAACTGTAAAATGAGTTGCTTTAATCCTACACATCATAACAATCTTATCATCATCACGCACCCTAATCCCAACAAGTTGGGGTAATTGGCATTAAATCTATAGAGCCAATGAATTGTACGGAGTATAAAACCAGTTAAAACTATAAATCCATGCACGAAAATAAACAGTGACAATGGTTTATGCCGTGTGCCCTTTCACATCCTTTGTAAGAAGGAAAAGTGAGATTAAAATTCTAAAATCATCATCACATGTTATATGTACAGGCCAATGGAAAACATACTACTGCTAGAAGAAGAAGAAGAAGGGTAAGAAAAAGGTTCTATCAATAACTTGCATCTCTAAAGATAACCTTCAAATATTCCAGCTTTTCCGCCATCGTTCGCATTCCACACAACATCCCAGTACCTACAAAACATAACCTTAAGTACGAGATGACTAGCAGTACTTTACAAGACATCAAAACTAAGGAGGGAATTGAAGATACCCTCTGTTAGATTCATTGTTTCGAATTTCAAGCAGATTGTCGATGCCGTTATAACGAATGCCAGTGACAATCCCATCTGGCTTTGAGAGAGTGACTTGGATTATGCCATTATCCATCACCACCTGCCATTGTATTTTTCTTTGGATGAAACAACTCCCAAACACAAAATTACACGAACAAATAAATAAATAAATCAATCATCAATGAACAAAGGATTATCAATTACATGGTGATCTTGAATGCACAATCGCACTCCAGAAGCTGGCATTGTTCCACTGGGCCTATGATCCTCTGCAGAACAAGAGAAAGATGAGATCGCGCCTTAATGGCATACTCTCGTGGCTTCCATTTTCAATTCGCAATTGATATGGCTAGGTTCATTCTCTCAAAGATAAAAGAATAAATTTCAGAAATACCAATATGGCTTCAATTTTGCGATTTGAGTACTCAGGGAATTATTAAGGGGAGTTACGAAGAAGAGAAGACCTGTGTGGCTGCCACGTGGGCATATATTGTGTAGGATGCGCCTGAAATTACGGCCACATCCCATAATCGCGGTTTCGAGAAAGTTAACTATCACGCGCCACCACTTCGTCGGAATCTTCCTTCCCGCATCCTCTCTTTACGGGGCTTGAATGACCGATCCTCATAGGCCACCGCGATCAGATAACCGTGGAAGTGTGGAACCAATGAAGGGTGCAAAATTGCAAATGTACTACGTACGGTCGGTACGGAGTATATAAAGTATAAACACTTTTTTTTTGAAAAAAAAAAGAGTATAAACACTTTGTATTCCATTCAGCCAAATTAAGTACTCCCTCCGTCCTATGTCTTTCTTCCTCTTGCGCAAAACAAAGAAAAATTTCAAGTTTTTTCAATCTATTTTATTTAAATATTGGTATAGAAATAAAAAATAAAATATACATATTTTAAAACTACATCAAAAGTTCAACAAAACAAGTGATGACAAGAATATTTTATTTTATCATATAGGCCATGAAAAAACACAAATAAATATAAATTCCCGTGAAGTTGGAATAGTGCTCTGAGAAGAAAGCTTTAGGACGGAGAGAGCAGTTAATAATCTTATTTCCATAAAAAAAATTCTTATTTTGATTTTATGGAGTTTTTAAAAATTTTTGATAAGTAAGAAGTGAGTGGTTAGTTATTACTCTATATAAAAAAAGTAAAAGAAAATTGTTGATCACGTATGACATATACTTCACGAAGTATTTTATTAGATAAGTGAAAAAATATGATAATTATTTTGGAACGGATTAAAATTAATAATAACAAAATAATAATTTTAGGCCCTTAGGATTTTTAATGGAACTTTTTAATTACTTAAGTTTTATGAAGTGCACTTTTTAAGAGTCAATTTACTAATGGGTGTTGGATGTTAGAAGAACTTGGAAAAAGTTGGATAAAACTGAAAGGAGTTAGAAAATGTTGGAAGAATTAATGTGTTAAAAAATCAATCAATTAAATTATTACTCAAATAAATAAGAAAGAAAGATCTAATCTTCAAAAAAAAAGAAATCATTTTTGTTCGTGCTTGAGGCGGTATTTTATAATTTTGTATATATAATGTTACTGTACATTCATCATATATATAAATACATTTTTTAAGTCATTGTTAAAAGAAACTAGAAGAAGTTAGAAGGAACTAAAAAAAGTTGGAAGAAATTAAAAGAAGTTAGAAATTAATTTTTCCAACCCAAAAGAATAGGGTCTAAATACACAATTCATGTTAAGTGGATAAATTTGTCCTTAAGAGTTTTCTAAAATCTACTATCTCTTCTATGTGTTTTTAAAGGTAAAGTTGTATATATAACCATAAATGGAGTAATTTAACCATAATGAGAATGAATATAATAATACCCTTTACGAATTCAAAATACTTTATTAGATAGAGTTTTCAATTTGTTTAGGTATTCTCAATATTTTGGAGTGTTGGACATACTCGGTATTTTAATTTTAAACTAAATTTTAATTTTGTAAGAATAACAAAAAGTTTAACAAAGTTTAGAGACAGGTACCCATAGTTCAAGCTTTGGACGCTCAAGCCTCAAACTTGTTAACAAATACAAAAATATATAAACTTGAATTTTATCTAACCCCAGACATCCAAATTGATTTTAAGAAAATCATTATTATTTTGAACTTGTTTTAAGACGTTCTTTCATTCACTTTGAACTGACCATCATAACATTTTTGACACAGTACAAGAATGTAAATAAAATATACATTCATATTCATGTTACGTTTTATTACTCGTAATATAAAGCTCAAACACCCATTAATTGAATGCAACCCAGAAATCTGCTTATTAACATTGATTGACATTGGTGACTCACATATTCCATTGATGGCAAGTGTAAGATAAGAGATGATATTGCATGACTAGTGTACAAACAGGAAAATTATTGGGGCACCCCAACAATTGTACATAATTTGTACGCCAAAGGCAAACAAAGACATTTTATGTCGCTCCGGGCAAAGACATTATGTCTATTTTTGCCTTTGGAGTACAAATAGTGTACAATTGTTGGGGTACCCCTAGCATTCCCCGTAGACATATGAGGACAATATTGCAACAAATTCTTTTGGGTAATATATGGAAGTCCCAGTCTGATTAGGAGTGCTGCTCAGCTTTCCTCTTGAAAAATAGTGACCCAAACAGAACAGCAATTCCGGTTATTGCAATGGTAAAGAGAAGACGCTTCTTTGAGAGCTCGTTGGGACGCCTTCTTGGAGTATTGTCATCTCTTGCTGGTGCCCTTGTGTTCCTGTGTCCACATACATGATGAATAAATAAACATCACATATCTCAAATAATGTTCATATTTTATATAGAGAATGTTTTCTAAACTTTTCATCTTTGGCACCGGGTTCTTTGAGCTTTAGTGGAAAATGACTTGCTCAATATGATGCATTTTGTTTTTTTTTTCTACTTTTGTGTGTTAAAACATTATGCTCACGCTGCCCTACAATTTTCTTCCTGTTTTGCTAATTGCCCTGTCCAAGACAAATCTTCACATTTCCTCTTAAGCAAAAATTTGTGCCGTTTATAATGTTTCTCTCCTTTGTAAACAGAACATATTACTACGGTATTTTCTAAATAAGTGTGTAAAGTCAAAGCAAGAAGAAAATTGTGAGGGAGTACTATACATAGAGAATAGAGATGGAAAGCACAAAACACTTTACTGTGGCAAGTTATTTTCCTACAATAATGAGTTAATGGCTAATTTTAACATTTAGTCTAACTACACAGTATACCCTATTACTCAATTTGGTTCTCAACTATGAAATTTTGATCCAGTTTACTTTGCTATGATTAAGAATGGTATTTTTAGTCGATAATGACTAAATTGGATCCAAATAACATAGTTGAGGATAAGACCGAGTTCAAAAGATTTGGTTAACAGACGAATATATACTTCTTATTTAGGGCCACATATGTGCACAGACCAAAGTGAGTCAAAGTTGCATAGTCAATGAGCGGATTAAGCATTTAAAAAGTAGATCGCATATTCGAGTAATAGTGCATGGTTGAATGACTAAATCATGTAATGTTGTACAATAAAACAGGGTTAACTTTTTTAAAAATGTTCTCCACAGATAATGTGTGAATATGTCCATGTTTGACTGTTTCAATGTTGACAGCACATAGAGAAACTCACTCAGATATTCAGACTCAGCTTCATGAACTGTATAGACAAAATATGGACATGCTAGGGGTCTGTTTGGAACATGGAAAGTCTCAGGAAAGAATTTAGCGAGTACATTATATGGGTAAACCGTAAATATAATAATTTTGTTCAAATTCAACAAATATATTTTTTATATTTGTTCAAACTCATTTGATTTATCTATTTATATTATGTAAAGACTATGAGATCTAAACAGATGTAAAAGCAGATAATAACTTTCCATTCCCACCCCCGGCATTTTCCAACTTCCAAACATACTCTTTGGGAGTTGCACTAATAAGATTTCCCTTTTATCCACAGAACAAGTCAGAACGGAATACCTGGAAGACTCGGCAACATTATTATCTACTATTCCATTGCATTTATTCTCATGGGAGTTCATTTCGCGGAGTCTAATGTATCTACTACAAAGATGACAAAGTTCTGTACGGTTCCCACACACTTCCTGAGAAATTTTGACGATAGAAAATAAAGAATCAAACGTCGATGAAGATATATTGTAGACGATTTTACATCCGCGATAAGGGATTACCTGATGCTTAAACAAATCAACTGCTGGTAAAGGAAACTCGCAATACTCGCACGTAACGATTCTTTGTGGGCAATTTGCCCCTTTGTGAGCATCTAAAACTTCACGTTCCATTGTCTCACAGCACAAGGAGCAGGAAACCTATACCAACACAAATACTTACCCCAATTATTAATATCAAACTGGTTTAGCTTAGCGTAGTATCATTCCTTCATAGTCCTAGTAAGGTGTCATTCCCCATAATAGCCAAAGAATGCGGAGAAAGAAAGGAAACACAAAGAAGGGAAGGGAAAGTATCATAGTAGAAGTAGATGTTGGTTTGTATCTTTATATCCATTTGAAAGTGGATGACTTTACATACCTTGCAAGATGGTGGGATGTTGGAGCACACCAACATGGAAAACCTGTGTTCCCCTTTTTAGACACACTAGAATAAAAATTGTGTTGCTCGAGCTGGAGGTCTCTTGGAAAAACCTCTCTACTTTCTAAGTAGTGGTAATGTCTGCGTACACATACCCTCCCCATACCCTATGTTCGTGGGATCCTACTGGGTTGTTGTCGTGGAATAAAAAATAACTCATCTCGTATTGTATCATATTAGGTATTGGCCTAAATCACCTAATGTGTTGGTTTGTACTTTCACATTTGTTCGATATGGAAGGCATGACTTCACAAAAAGTATCATAATATGATCTTTAAATTCATTACATTTTTAGAATATAGGTTAGAGCAATTTTTATAATATGAGCTGGGAGTCTCTTGGAAACAACCTCTCTACTTTTAAGTGGGAGCAAGGTCTGCGTACACACACCCTCCCGAGACCTCTTGTAGGATCCAATTAGGTTGTTGTTGTAGGTTAGAGCAATTTAATATAACTAGAACATAAGTTCATTCAAATGTATATGGTTGGAAATAAAACATATGATCTTACCATTGACTCTAGTTCCAGTAATATATGAAAGCATTGAATTTGGTCTAACTCATTAGCAAGAGTGAAAAAGATGTCTTCAGAAGGTGATGGACACTTATACACTAGGCTCAAACTCAAACCCAGAAAGACGATAAAGGGATCAAAATACAAAGTGCACCCAGAAAGTTTCTAATCACTTACTGGAGCATGACTACTTAAGAAATGTTCCTCGGTGTATCTCTTGGGAACCATATCGCCACAAATTTTACATTTTTCCAGATTCCGAGAGCAGTGAGCAAAGTGCAAATCCAGGTTTGAAGAGAGGATTGCCCTATCACTGGAAAGTGGAAACATAAAACTTTAAATTAATCAAATACTCAATTTTTCTGATGGAATTAAGAAAGAACAGAATGAGCACAAAGTATAATAACTCCTATAAGAGTAGACTTTAGGATTGATTTGGGTCACTCGATTGGGCCATAAATCACTTGGTTAAATCCCAAAAGAATACTTAATGCACCCAATTAGCTAGATCAAGTGAAGATCTTAGTAA